ATGGTCTATTTCTTCTCCAAGAACAACCTAAAAGATTACATAAACACCCATATGGTAATTACTAATTAGCAGACAGTTATCATGTTCACTATTTGCAAGAAGAAAACTAAAAACAGAAACATCAAAAGAAAGGTTAGTGCAATTATAAATGCACAAGGAGATTACCTCATCTGCATTTACAACTTCTTGTGCCATTTCAATGATCAATTAACTAGTGGATTAGAAGCCAACCAGCTGCACAAACAAATTAACAAAAAAGGGCAATGAGGAAAACATGAATTTTTTGAGCAGTGAACTAATCCCAGATAATTAGTTCCAGAATTGGGGGCCAACTGCCAAGAAACTTGCTCATTTCATTCCAATCTTTCAAAGCATAATTAGAAGCATTGCAGTTTAAGTTTTTTGAGCTAACTCGAAGCAAATCGATCAAAGAAGCGTGGAGCTCTTGTACAAAAAATGCAGCGAGCAAAGTGGGTTGGTGAAGAGGGTGATGATGGTGCAGTATTTAACGTTCGCTGTTGACCATTTGATAGCTACTTAAGTAGCTTGTTTGTGAGAGAGAGAGAGCCTATCAATGAGAGATATGGAGAATTTGAATTTACCTGGTTTTGGAAAAACTACAGCTTGTTAGGCCTAATAGAGAAGACAATGTGCCTCCCTATCAACTTTGACAAGAAATAAGAAGAAGATGCACTAGCAGTGGCATTGAAAACCACCAAAGCTACACCTTTGAAAACCCCAAAAAGGGAACCAGCAAGCAAGGACATGAATACAGTACCAGAGGCAAAAACAAAAGCAAAATAAATAAACCAATCAATGCCAAACAGTCATTGCAACAAATGAAAAGGAAGTAGGGACAATGATTTTGTGGGGTAAACAGTAGCAGTACAATATTTTTGTGGTTTGGAAACCTCTCTCAAGATTTCATCAACCAATGGGGTCTATGAAACTCATGGTCACTCAAGATTCCATCAACCAATGGTCACTGCACAGGGAACTAGTCCTGCAATCACCACACAAATGAGCACTCTACTACTATATTAGATAAGTATTCAAAAGCAAAGTCTGTCTAAGTAAATCACCTATGAATGCTAAAGCCCTCCGGCTTTCTAGTACCCCATTTTTGAAGGAAATGGACACTCCAGAAATGATCATTAACTATAAAATAAGCAGAAGACAAAGTTAGATATGATCCAATCCAAACCCATATAGTTTGTTGCTGAACTAACCCACATCAATTTCTTGCTTAAAATATCAAAGCTAACTCACAAAAGAATTCTACTAGCTAGGTTCAAGGATTTCATTTCTTGTTACATGTTTACCTGATTTATAACAGTTAATCTTCCTCCAAGATTTTTGAGTGCAATTTCAGCTATCGAAACAGGTACCTTATTATCCAGGAATTGAAATAAACCTCTGATAAATATCAAGAGCTGTATGTATGCACATACATACACATAAACAAAGGGGAATCTTTACAAAGAAAACTGATCCTTTTTTAATAAAGAAGACCACTCCAAGATTTAAAATATACTTTAATATATCTTATTTAGCTCCAGCACATGCCCCGTTTCAACTATCCGAGACAAGAATCCGATAGCCCACTGCGGCAAGAATGGACATTTTGGAACTGATTCACATCGAGCTTCTTGTTAATGATTCCCACAATGAAGTAAATGCTATCAGAAGGCAGCAAATCGACTCTGATTTCGTCCATTGTGTCCATTATTTCTTCTCAGGAAAGAAAATATAAAGGATTAAAACTTAAAGGACATGTATTCAAGGCTTTGGCTAAGCTTTTATTTTTCTGGGTTGGACTTGTAAGACCAGATAACCCTAGATAGGGGATAAAGATTGAGTTTTTTTGTTGAGAAATTGACACAGGGATGGATTTCGCGAGAGTGGGAGAAACAGAGTGGTGGTGGTCATGGAGCGACGGTGGAGAGATAAAACGCTGAGAGAGGAAGAGAGAACGCAGAGAGCGAGGTCAGAAGTTTTCGGTTAGCAATCAATGGCCAATAACTCCCCAATAGATATGTTTTTATATGAAGGGTAGTTTGGTCATTTCACGTCCCCAAGTGATTATATTAGAACACAATTTGTAGCCTGATCATTTCAGCACACTATTTCTGAAACCTGATTACACCAGCTTATTTCCCGAATAATTCGCGTCACTTGGTGTCGTCGTTTTATGACAATAGTCAGTCAGCCAGGTAGTCCGAGTCTCCGAGACATCTTCACTTTCTTTCTGTTTGTTTCGGCATTGTTTTCATAAATAAATTTTAAAAAAAGGAAAAAAAAGAAGATAAATAGTGGACACTGGACAGTATTTTATTTCACTTTTATTTATTTATTATTATCTGTTTTCAAATCTAGATTTGCGGAAAATCTTCCTATTCAGGCCAAATGAGTATTAGTAACGAAATTTTCGAGTGGATTTGTATGTACAAAAGGACGGTTGAGCCATTTGGGAGAAGGCGTTTGGTTTGTCTAAATTTCAAAAGGCAGTGTCGTTTTGACTTGTCATTGTTTTTGGAAAGGAAACTGCTAATTTCTTTTCTTCCATAATTGATTTAGTTAATGATTGCAAAAGTCAACTAATTGATTTAGTAATCAAGCTAAATGTAGGGCAAAGCTGAGACATTTTGCAGAGCTTAATGAATAATTATACAACTAAATGCCATGTTTCCACAAGTATATTACGAAAATTGTATTCTACGGATATTTTATATACAAATTATACGAATTTAGGTTTAAAAGTTGGTATGGCACAGTTTGTGGAAGTTGGATGTTGAAATCATATCACTACCTACCTACTATGTCTGTCTAACCTATACAGCAATTCATATTGCTCTCTCCGCTTGATGCATAATGCTTCTACTTAGTTTTACTATGCAACATGACATAGTAGGTGCTTAGTTCATAAAACAATGACTCCTTTTATTTATTTATTTATTTTTAAGGGCTTGTTTAGTAACGCTTTTGAAAAATATTTTCAGAAAAGTAAAAACGAGAAAACGAATTTACCAGCCTATAAGCATAATTATTTGTTGAAATTAAGACTGAACTGCAAGGGTAGGTTGGTTTTCATATTTAGCCAACCAAATTCTCAATCTGTGTGTGTGTGAGTGTTTTTTTGTTGTTGTTGTTGTGCTTTTGGTTTCTAAGGTTACAAACTTACATGTACTTTCTACCGAGCCATATAAAATAAAACCTCACAAAATGCAGTTGTGACTAGTAAGTATTCTCCCTATGCAAAAAGAAAAAAAGAAAAAGAAAAACCTTGTAAGGTATATGAGAAAAGTCCCTTTCTAATATTAGCAAATATGTATAAAAAAAAATAAAAAATCCCTTTTAAGTATTTTGATAATAATTTTGAATTAGAGAATGAAAAGGGAAAAGATCATGGGATGGGTGGAGATGCTTCAATATGCTCTTCTAGATTTGACATGTGTCACCTTTTTCTCACTCTTCAAATACACTCCCCAGTCTCTCTTGTCCTAATTTGTTTTCTCTATTTTCTTATTGTTTTTACTTTATTTTGGGTATTTCTTCTCTCCACTCCCTTTCTTGCGCTCGCAAGTCTCAGCTCCAGGTACGTGTATAAAAAAGAAGTCATATTTGAGCTGATTTTTTAAATGGTAAGCATCCGCATATCTTGTTTCTTGATTTTTTTTTATCCTTCCCATGGATTTCAGCTGTTAAAATAAAGTCTCTGGACGTAGAAAATGATAGAGAGAGAGAGACGAGTGAAAGGGAGGGAAGAAAAGACTATACAGTTGACAAATTAGGTAGTGATTCTTCTTTTCCTTTCTTCTTTTACCTTCTCCCTTTTCTTGCTTAATAATTGTCATAATTATTTGAAAGAGAGAGAGTTCAATTACAAGAGGCCGAGATAGCTTGCCTCAGATCCAGGGAAGTCAAGTAATAGTTTCAAAAAAAAAGGTGCTTTCTTTCATAGGGTTTTCCTGTGATTCTTGGCTTTGCCTTTCTTGGGTTTCTTTTTCATGACCCCTTTTTCTCTTTCTTTCTTGTGTTAGATAAGGGGTTGGTTTCATATTTAATCTGATTTTTTGTTTTTTTTTCTTTCTATTTTACAGTTTTTCATTTGTGCATTTAAAGGTTTTTCTGGTTTTTTCTTTCTGCCGTAGTTGATGGAGGTAGATAGAGAAGAGTCCAGAGAAGAAGTTGACAAGGCCTCAAACATGTCTTTTTAGCCTATTTAGGGCTCATATTTCCGCAAATAGAAGTGTGGATCCATTGTTGTTGGCCAGATCTGACTACCCATTTCCTTTTCACCACCTTTTAGCTCATCTATACATTTACATCTCCTGAATTTGCACCCTCTTTTGGCCTTTATTTGGGTGCCTTAGGCATGGACAATGGTCTGTTAAAACCCACCATTCACATTCCAAAATCATTCCCAATAAGAGAAAAAAGTCAAAAATTAATTGAGAAATGACAGGTTGTGTGATGTTTGAGGGGTCAAAGGGTAACTTTTTGTACTGCCCAGATAAGGATTTTGATGGAGGAGATGTCTCCGGCGGTCACGGTGCCATTTAGAGTAGGTAACTCAGTCTGTGATAACCCAAACATAGCTACCCACATGGATGTCACAAGACTTAAGCTAATGACAGACACGGCGGGGTTGCTATCTGATTCTGTCACCAGGGGTTCCAGTGAGACGGTTGCAGCTGGTGAAGAGGATTGTAATTGTAGTTATTTGGAGAATGAAGTTAGTTTTGTAGAAGTTTCAGTGCCAAAAGAGGACGAGGAAGGAGAAGCTCCTTTGTTGGATATGATATCTCAAGATGGAAGCAATTGGGTTTCTGCTGCTGATGTGATAGCTCGGGAAAGTGAGGAAGATGATTCCTTATCATTGGAAGGCGATCAGATTCTTGATAGCTCTTGTTCACTCTCTGTGGCTAGTGAGTCAAGTAGCTTATGTTTAGAAGACTTCCTCGTTTATGAGGCTAGTCCTGACATAGGGACACTGACTTCTGTAGACGTTGAGAAGGGCATTTGCTGTGTTGATGTTGCAAAGGCTTCAGATTTGGGTGATTCAAAAGTTGAGACAGAGATCACAACCGACCCCCTTGGTATGACGGTGAGCCTAGAGGAAGAAAATCGTGATGGGTCTGACCCAAAGCCATCTGAAGTTGTTCAATTGCCTGTGGAAACAGTGGTCAAAGAAACAGTAAGCCGCAGTGTTTTTGAGGTAGACTATGTGCCACTTTGGGGGTTTACGTCCATGATTGGAAGAAGACCAGAGATGGAAGACGCACTTGCCACTGTACCTCAACTTTTAAAAATTCCAATTCAAATGCTGATTGGCGACCGGGTACTTGATGGCATGAGCAAGTGTTTAAACCAGACTGTTCATTTCTTTGGAGTCTATGATGGTCATGGAGGCTCTCAGGTACCATTTCATATTTCTTATCTATTCCTTGTGCATAGTTTTCCTACTGCATATCATGCATATAATGTCTTTCTGCCAGTAACTGTGTTTCGTGGGGTTGGGTTTCACTTTGTTTAGGTTGCAAACTATTGTCGTGATCGTGTACATTTGGCTTTGGTTGAAGAGATAGAGTCCGTTAAGGAAGGCCTTATTCATGAAAGTGTCAAAGACAATTGCCAAGATCAATGGAGAAAAGCATTTACCAATTGTTTTCATAAGGTTGATGCTGAAGTTGGAGGGAAGGCTAGTCTTGAGCCTGTTGCCCCGGAAACTGTTGGTTCCACTGCTGTTGTTGCCCTTATTTGTTCGTCTCATATAGTAGTAGCAAACTGTGGAGATTCAAGAGCAGTTCTGTGTCGTGGTAAAGAACCCATGGCATTATCAGTGGATCATAAAGTAAGGTTCTCTAACTGAACTACTGTATCTTATAGTTCATGACTGATTATGCAAACTGATCTGCATTCGTTATTTTAGCCAAATCGGGAAGATGAATATGCAAGGATTGAGGCAGCTGGGGGCAAGGTCATACAATGGAATGGGCATCGTGTTTTTGGTGTTCTTGCTATGTCGAGGTCTATAGGTATGTGCTTCGTCATGATTTTTTTTTTCTTTCGCAATTCCATGCTTCTTTCATGGATGACTTCTGTAGTACTTCACATAATACTATTATATATATACAGTAGAGTAGTAACTAAACTTTGTCCAGAAATCATATATTCATGAAGATTTGATGTTAGGTCCAAACATGATATGTGTTTTTTTAGACACACTTATTTTCTAACCAAGGTACATAGAAAAAATACATCCTAGTCAAACTTGGGTAGTCTAACACTTCGTAAAGTTAAATTTCAACCTTGGCTTTGAGTTGCAGGCGATAGATATTTAAAACCGTGGATCATTCCAGAACCAGAAGTGATGTTTATTCCTCGAACAAAAGATGACGAATGCCTCATTTTAGCCAGTGATGGTTTATGGGATGTTATGTCAAATGAAGAAGTGTGTGACCTTGCTCGGAGACGAATACTTCTCTGGCACAAGAAGAATGGCGTTACTCCACTTCCGCTGGAAAGAGGCGAAGGAATTGATCCCGCAGCTCAGGCAGCTGCGGAGTTGCTTTCGAACCGTGCTCTTCAAAAAGGAAGTAAGGACAACATTACTGTAATTGTGGTGGATTTGAAAGCTCAAAGGAAGTTTAAAAGCAAAACATGATGGCTTCTTATGATCTGATATCGTGTTGCCCATTTGTTTTTCACCTGGGCTTCATTGCTTAATGAGAACCACAGTCTGTATGTATCATAGAACATCTGCCATGCCATTCTAGAATCTTCTGTTTTTTAATTTTTTTAAGTGTTTGATATACGCTGTGCTGTGTAAATCTTAGCTGCTTGGTAGTAGAAATAGGAATGGGTGGCAGTGTGATGCTTTTAACATTGTGGGCAAATTGTATTCATTATGCCTCCGAGTTAAACAGCTCAGTGAGGTATTTACCCTTCATATTATTTCAATCCTAATGCTTATAAAAGTAGTAAATTTGGAAATTTGCTTGCACATTTGTGATCTTCTCACTGTGATTTTTGTTATATTATTCTCAATGGACTGGTGATTGGTTTGCCGTTGACATAACGGGCGAGATTGGCTACCAAGCAGAGGAGGCCAAAAATGGAACCTCAGTATTTCCTGTGCACCAACTCCTTCACAACATCAGCAAGACTTTTTTCACTATCAACACTCTGAACCCACTTGGCGTTGATGTGTACCCTCTCGATGCTCTGCTTCAAGGTTCTAGTTATTGAAGGGTTAGGACGGGCTTTGAAGAACTCATCTATTTCCTTCACCTTCTCAATTGAAGCAAACTGCGAAGGAAAATGAAGGTGTTATAAACCATTTGCTTATGTAATTTCGGATCTAAATTAAACAAAATAGGAACCTCATAGAAAATAAGATTTTTTTTTAAACGAACCGGAGAAACAATTGCTGCGACAAAGCAGGTAATTAGAAATCCAGAACTCCAGGTGTTCGAGATGTGCTCCCAGTTATCCTGTATTTCGAAGCATCCAAAAGGCAAAATCAAACATAGCAACAAAAGTGGGAAAAGAAGAAGACTCAAAAACAAAACACTGAACCCGCCCCTTCACACCCAAGTTCGAATTTCCCTCCCGTAGATTTGATAAATTTAGAGTAAGTTAGACTATCGCTTGTATAAAAGAAAAAAAAGGAAAAATATTAGGGTTTAAAGAAGCAGTAAAAACTAGTGCTTGAGAGTTACCTTCAGCCACGTCCAAGCTGTTTCCCGTCCTTTACTACTAACAGAAAGTCCCATGATAGCGTCCTGAGTGCGGACCTATATAGATGGGTATTGAAGTCGGTATATCACCAAGCTTTGAGATACTCTAATTTACTACTAATTTGTAAAACAATCAAACTGAAATTAAGAGATAAATAAAATCTGAAATACCTCAGAAGTCAATAAAAAGTTGAGAACTTCCAGTGTTATGATTGGATCAGGACACAATGCTAATGAACCTGCAGGCACCGAGAGAGAGATTATTGCCACAGTATAACAAACTCAGATGTTTGGAATGATTTTACAAATTAATCAGTATTACTTAAAATGCCATTTTTCTCCTGGCTTAGATCAGTCTCTCTGTAAACTCTAAGAAGAGATTCATAGCCTGATCTGTTAGACGTGCTTACTCTTTGCATTACAGCCACATACACTGCCTGCAGCAATAGTTCATGATGAACATCAGCAGGGAACTTAAAAGGACAAATATGGGTGCTTAATGAATGGTTTAAATCAAAACAACCTTTCTTTCTAAGAAGGCATGAAAGCGCCTACTTGCTTCATTTATCGTCAGGTCATGTCCAAACACAGCAAGGGCAGCTAAAATTTCACCTCTCAACATTGCATGTAAATGACTCTCGCCGGGTTTAGGGTCCCAACCAAGCTTCCTGTAAACAAATTCAAACATAAACAATAAACTTCAACAAAAATAAAGAAAAAGAAATAAGTAAATCTTGTGGATAGTTTGAGAGTGTCAAACATATGTAGCATCAAGAAAGATGTTACCCGAGATCTTGTTTCTACACAAAGGCAATGTTCCATATAACCTCCCATTTTATATGGTAGCTTCAAAATTTAACTAGCAACAAATTTGATATACAACTGACTTATATCACTTAAGGTTAAATAAGCAGTGGACAGAGCACTTTCAATTCCCAGAATTCTTAATCACAGATTTCTATAGATGCTTGAGCAGTTAAAAAATGAAGAAAAAACCTTACTGTGCAGAGTACTGGAGAAGGCCAATAAGGAATTGATTAATGAGATCAAGTAGCTCGGGTACAGCATCAGCTGCAATTCTTGCCAGCTTATAGCTTATCTGTGAAAAGTTAACACCATAATCAAGCCAAGGCCATAAATACAGTAACATAAATAAATGCAGAGGTGATCATTACGGTAATCAAATTTGACAGCACTGTAAAGTCAAGTTCCTCTCTGTAAGCACCCAACAAGGTAAGCAATGACGCAAAAGACTGCTGGCAAGCCATAGAAAGGGCAAATGAATCATCTAAAATTCCTGTTAGAAGGAAAAACTTGATGAAACTGCTGGCTAGCCAAGGTAAGCAATGAAAACTATCAGCTTAGCTATCAAAGAGATGTGTGCATAAAAAGATGATTACCAAATCTGTCAGTTGCAGACAAGTATTTGTTCTCTATAGCATTTCTAAGTTTATCCGCAAGTTCCTCATCATATTTCACCCTGTAAAAACCAGTCTGATCCACATTGACTTTTATCCAGCTGCATAATGCATTGTTTTCATTGCTTCCTCTACTTCCAGTCTCTGCTATTGAGCAACCCAGAAATTCCTTTATGTCAAGAGTTCTAGACTTCGTTTGTAGTAGGAAACTCTTGCGTACATTATACGAGCCACAACATAATGTTATCGGCACAATCCATTGTCCATCACCTTGAGAACCACTTGACAAGAACTGTGTCTGTCAATTATTACTTTATTTATCAGATATTTGTCCGTTTCCAAGTACCATGGAATTAAACCTAAACAAACAATTTAACAGCTTATATATGCATTAGATCTCAGACACTATTTCTTGATAATTGCATTTGATACTAAAACAAGATTTTGAAAGACGCAAACACAAGGAAACCTGATCAAACTCCAATTTCTGATCTTTGATTTTGACGGAAACAACTGGGTAACCTTTTTGCTGAGTCCATGAATTCATTAGCTTGTTCACAGGTTCACCAGATCCATCCTCAAGGGCAGCCCATAAGTCTTCTGTCTTTGCATTTGAGGATGCGTGCTTTCTTATATATGAAGCAAGTGACCTCTAGATGCATGAAAAAATAACATGTAATCAACTCTGTAATTTAAATAAGAATCCAGTTTGATAAGGAATGAGAATACAAATTTAAAAATTCAAGAAAACAGGATGAGAAACATTACACCAAACACCTTTATCATAAATGTAAATTTCTCAGAGAATAAGATAGTTGCTTCAAGCCAGAGGGGGTTTCTAAAATAACAAAGGACCAACCTGAAAGCATTCAGCGCCGAGATAGCTTTGTAGCATCAGGATAAGAAAAGCACCTTTTGTATAACTTATGTCATCAAATATTTCATCAACCTCATCAGCATGATTTATCTCCACCTGACGGTAAAAAATATTACCAAAAAGGTTACATAAACCAAGTATATACTAACACTCTCCAGTACATAATGACCTAAATATAACCGCGAGTAAAGCCTGTCATACAGGTTAACAAGGATTGATGCCCGCAAAAAGAAATTTTTTGGGCAAAAGAACTCAAATGAAACCCATGAAAGCCTTAGTCCACATAAATGTACCTCGATGGGGTGAGATTCTTCAAGAGCATCCAGCCTAAGACCCCCAGTACATTCATCAAGAAACTGAGTCCATATTTGCCACTCTGGGAACAAGTTATCAGTAGCTAAATAGCTCACCTAATGACATTAAATTACTTACTTTAAGTCCACAAACAGGTAAAGTAACAAGTACAAAAATGAAATGAAGTGATACCCATGTTGCAAATCCCTCGTTCAGCCACAAATGTGTCCACCATTCCATCGTTACAAGATTGCCAAACCACTGGTGAGCCAATTCATGTGCGACGGCAACTGCAACCTTTTACGAAAACTGCATGAAGTGATTAAACATATCTTTGGGTGCAAAAACAATAGCTCCATATTATAGTAAGTTATTATCTAAATTCTGAAAGCTAGAGTAACATTCAGGATTTGCATATTACATTTTGCTTGTTGGAAGCTGCAGAATGCTGCTCATCAAAGAGCAAAGCTGCATCACGGTACATAACTAAACCATAATTCTCCATGGCCTCAGCAGAAAAATCAGGGATTGCAACCATATCCAATTTGGGCAAAGAGTAGGGCACAGCAAAGTATCTGTAGAACATGTCATCATTGATTTGATAATGAATGCCAAAAATGCAGTATAATCACAAAAGTGCTACTACTTATAGTCCACAGCATACATTAAGTGTAATTTGCAGCTTGAATATGAAGGCTATAACCCATGATCAGTAATTTTTTTATTTTTTTTATTTGGGTGATTCTGTGATGTATAAACATACTCTTTGTACAATTCAAGTGTCCTGACAGCAACGCTCAATGCAAATTTCCCTTGGTTTGCCTTACCAACTTGGCAATATACCCGCACTTTGACCCCTGTGATGAGATGAAAGTGACAACATCAAGAAAGGGTTGTATTAACATACACATGAAACAAGGGCTATGGTATATGAGTTTACCATCAGATGTATGATCTTCAACATAATCAAACAATCCAACAACAATAGCCACCAAATATGTAGACATAATTGGTGACTCCAGATATGAAACTGTCTTCAGATGTCCATCCACTTTTTCTTCTACAACCGGCATGTTGGAAAGAGTTACTAATTCAGACGGAACATCAGCCAATGTAATCTTGAATGTAGCCTGTCAATCAAAAGTGCCAGTAAGAATGAATAAGGTCAAGGCATAAACTGTAGAAGTGAAACAATTCAACCAAAACTGGAAGATTGATTTCTCTACTAATCTACAATCATACACAACAAATCCTTTTTTTCTCTTTTCCAGGACCCAAAGTGCATTTAGAACCATGTAAGGGATCCAGAATTGATTTTTAAAAAAGCCACGAGATACTAATAAAACTTAAGCCAATTCCGTGAGTGTGAGAAAGAGAGAGAAAATATGTGCGTGTGTGTGACCTTCCAAGCAGGTTCATCCCAACATGGAAAGCACCGCCTGGCGTCAACCGGTTCAAACTGTGTAACTGCCATATTTTTCTTCTCAGCATTATGCTCATATGTACTGCACAGAACAAATCAAAGTCTAAACATATCTATAACAATGAATTAAAATAAGATTAAAAGAACAAAAAGAAGATAGAGTTTATGAAACATCCCACATTCAAATAATACCTTCTATAAAACCCCTTCATGCTGTCATTCAAGATTCCTTCAAAAGAAATAGCCAAAACTCCCAGCCCAAATGGAAGTGTCTCCCCAAACTCCAAAACCAAAATCCCATCTTCTTCGAATATCTCAACTTTTGAAGGCTTGAAGACCTGCTCAAACATTCAGTTACTCAAATTCAGTTAACAGAGCAAATCCGCCTGTGAAATGCAGGTAGGTAGGTGATATTCCAACTGGTCTTTCCTTTTCCTACACCGCAAACTCCTCCACTATCCTTTCATTTCTTTTTCTACAAATTCTCGGCAGCCAAAAACAAATTCCGAACCGATAAAACAAAACAAAAATTAAACCGAAAAAAAGCAAATGCAAGGATCAGTTTGCACCTTGGAAGAGTCCTGGTGAGTGAAAGACACGGAGCCGGCGTTAACAGAGAGCTTGGCGGCATTGAGGACGATGAATCGGGTATCGGCTACGATATCGAGATCGACGGTGACGGAACCGCCGAAGTTGCAATCGGTGAGGTCCGGTTTGAGGCGTATGTCGTATCGTTTAGGGACGGCGAATTTCGGAAGGCGAGGTTGGCCCTTGAACTGCTCCATATTTTGATTTTTGCGAGCAGATAGAGTAGAATTTTCCTACACTCGTTTAAAATTCAAATTCAATCTTGAGCATGTATCTATCCATATATATATTCACATTCAAAATACTAGAAATGTCCATAGTTAATTCAAACTTAAGAGTTGAAATTATTAATTAAATGATAATAATATTGTTTTTTTCATATTTAAAAAAATAAAAATAAAAAACAAATCAAATAATAAGTCATACTTTTATGGAACATAACGCATGTGTCAAGAGACTAGTTAGGGCTTAATAGAAGGCTAGACGACCAATTACCGCTAATTTACCCGTGATGTTAACGGAACTCCGGAAAACTGGAATGAGCAACGCGCTGCCACGTGGCATGAATTTTATTACAACGTTTAGAAAGAAGTTATAACCAACTGATATATAATACTGATTAGTGATATCAACGGCCCACTAATCCATTGATAAGAGAGTCATAACGAGAAAGCAAGGTTTAGGGAGCCCATCAAGCGTGGCAATTTTCCAGTCGATAGGGAAGAGATAAATTCAAGCAAAGGATCAACGGTTATATTTTTTTTACCGCAGACATTAGAGAGGGAAGAGATTCGAATTTGGGATTTAATTTCAACGCAAATGAAATTTGAATTTAGGGCTTCTGTCTAAACGTATCTAACATAACGTTTCCTCAAACTTTGTTTTCATCCTATAAAAATAGCATATATGGGGTTTGATCAAATCATAGGGATGAGAGAAAACACTTGTAGTTCTATTTTATCAAATCGTATTAGAAAATTAGTACATTTATTACTATTGTTACTTTTTATTCTTCTTTTGGCAAATAAAAGTTACATGACTGTCGAAATACAGTCAAACATGATACCCTAGTATTTCCTGTATGCCAACTCCTTCACGGCATCGGCAAGATTTTTCTCACTCTTAACACTCTCCACCCACTTGGCGTTAATCTGCACCCGCTCAATGCTCTGCTTCAAGGTTCTAGTTATGGATGGGTTAGGGTGTGCTTTGAAGAACTCGTCTATTTCCTTAACCTTCTCAAATGAAGCAAACTGCAAGAGAAGATAACCAGAAAGGGGCAAAGAGGGAACAACAAGAAGGAAATTAAAAGGAAGTAGAAACCATTGCTCTTGTAATTTCAGATTCTAAATTAAACTAACAAAAACCTCAGAAGACAAGAACAAAAGTTTCAAGAGAAAACAAACCAATGATACAATAGCGCTGACAAAGCGAGTAATTAGAAATCCAGAACCCCAGGTCTTTGAGATGTATTCCCAATTAGCCTGTATTTCGAAGCATCCAAAAGGCAAGCAAAATCAATCATAGCAACAAAGTGGGAAAGGAAGAAGAAGAAGGAAGGAAAAAAAAACATATATATATATATATGAAAAAATCGTATAAAGAAGCAGTAAAATCTTGTGCTTACCTTCAGCCACGTCCAAGCGGTTTCCCGCCCTTCATATATATATGAAAAAATCGTATAAAGAAGCAGTAAAATCTTGTGCTTACCTTCAGCCACGTCCAAGCGGTTTCCCGCCCTTCATATATATATGAAAAAATCGTATAAAGAAGCAGTAAAATCTTGTGCTTACCTTCAGCCACGTCCAAGCGGTTTCCCGCCCTTCACTACTAACAGCAAGTCCAATGACAGCATCCTGACTGCGAACCTACATAGATGAGTATTGAAATCAGTATCATCAAGCTTTGAGATAAAACTTTCAACGTCCAATTAAGAGACAAATAAAATCTGACATACCTCAGGAGTCAACAAAAAGTTGAGAACTTCCAGCGTTATGTTGGGATCAGGACAAGATGCTAATGAACCTACAGGCACAGACACTTATATTACTGCTAGGATCTAACAGACTCAGATGTTCAACATTATTTTACAAATTAATCATATTTACCTAGAATGCGGGTTTTCTCCTGGCTTAGATCAGTCTCTCTGTAAACTCTAAGAAGAGATTCATAGCCTGATCGGTTCGATGCGCTTGCTCTTTGCATTACAGCCACATATGCTGCCTGCAACAATATTCCATAATGAACATCAACCGCAAACTTAAAACGTTAAACACGAATGTGTAATTAATTATTTACATACCCTTCTTATGTCAGGAGGAAGGAGGGGTGTGTTTCTGTCATCCAAAAAGGCATGAAAACGCCTACTTGCTTCATCAATCGTCTGGTCATGTCCAAACACAGAAAGGGCAGTCAAAATGTCTCCTCTCAACATTGCATCTAAATGGCTCTCACCGGGTTTAGGCTGCCAACCGAGCTTCCTGTAAATATATATAAACATAAACAATAAACCTTTTAACAAAAAATAAAGAAAAAGAAAAAAGCAAAGTTTGGCACTGGTTAAGCATTTTGCTCCTGCCCTAACTTCTTTGGCATCAGAAAAAACTAGGTACTTCAGTAGTTAAAAAAGTTCGAGCTTACTCTGCAGAATACTGGAGAAGGCTGATAAAGAATTGATTGATGAGATCCAGTAGCTCGGGTACAGCATCAGCTGCAATTCTTGCCAACTTATAACTAATCTGTGAGAAGTGAGCACCAGAATCAGCCCAAGGCCATAAATACAGTAACATAAACACAATGCAGAGGTGATCATTACAGTTATCAAATTTGACAGCACTGTATAGTCAAGTTCCTCTCTGTAAGCACTCAACAAGGTAAGCAATGAAGTGAAGGACTGCTGGCGAGTCATAGAGAGGGCAAACGAATCATCCAAAATTCCTGTGAAAGGAAAAGATTGATGAAAACTACAAACTACAATTTTCACTATCAAAAAGATAAGCAAGTGCCTGTAGAAATAGATGATTACCAAATCTGTCAGTTGAAGACAAGTGTTTCTTTTCTATAGCATTTCTAAGTGCAGCTGCAAGTTCCTCCTCATATTTCACCCGGTAAAAACCAGTCTGATCCACATTGACTTTTATCCAACTGCATACTGCATTGTTTCTATTGCTTGCGCTTCCACATCCAGTTGCTGCTGAGCAACCCAGAAATTCCTTTATGTCAAGAGTTTCAGACTTCGATTGTAGTAGGAAACTCTTGCGTACATCATATGAGCCACAGCATAATGTTATTGGCACAATCCATTGCCCATCACCTTGGGAACCGCTTGAGTAGAATTGTGTCTGCCATTTATTAATTTACTTATTAGATCTTTGTTTGTTTCCTTGTACTATGGAATGAACATAAACTAACGAATTAACAGCTTATATATATATATATATATATATATATTAGAGCTCGAGATGTTCTTTCAGAATTTCATTTGATAATCAAACAAGATTTTGAAGGAAGCAGACAAAAGGAAACCTGATCAAACTCCAATTTTTGATCTTTGACTTTGACAGAAATAACCGGGTAACCCTTTTGCTTGGTCCATGAATTCATTAGTTTGTTGACAGGTTCACCAGATCCCTCCTCAAGAGCAGCCCATAAATCTTCTGTCTTTGCATTTGAGGAAGCATGCTTTTTTATATATGAAGCAAGTGACCTCTGGATGCATGAAAAAATAACATGCAATTAACTATGTGACTTCTATGATAAATGGGTTTAATAAAGAATAAGAACCAAAATTCAAGCAAAAAATATGAGACACAAAGCAAACATGTTCATCATATGAACAGTAGCACCTGATTTCTTAAACAATCATCATTTGAACAAAAACAGTTATCTTATTTCATTAATTTTATATTAATTTTATAACTTAAGGCATACACAAATAAGACCATAGTCATTATGTTCAGTCTGGACCATACTAACGATGGATAGAAGGCTGGATATCAGCCCAACATTAGATTCGTGCTAAAAGACTATGACCAAGCAATTCGGCCAACAAAGTAGATATTTAGCTAACTTTCTCAAGATCCCTGTCCTCACAAAATTCCTGCATGCCTAGAAGCCTTGATTGTTTGGAAACTTCAATGTAATAAATGTAAAATTCTTATAAATAAGGTAGCTGTTTCATCTTCGAGGATAACCACCAACAAGCCAAAGGACCTACCTGGAAGACTTCAGCGCCAAGATAGCTTTGTAGCATCCGAATAACAGAAGCACCTTTTTTGTAACTTATGGCATCAAATATTTCATCAACCTCGGCAGCATGATTAATCTCCACCTGGACAAAAAGAAAAATATTAAAGCATAATATACCACAAACACATATACTAATACCTTTTGACAAAAATAATGCCCTGAAAAATATAGTGCTGAATGTTACTATTTAAAGCCTGTCATGCAGGTGATCAAGGTTCAATGCAGGGAAATAGCAAAATTTTGGATAAAAGAATTAAAACCAAACCCATGAAAGACTCTGTCCATGCACAAGTACCTCAATGGGGTGAGATTCTTCAAGCCCATCCAGCTTAAGACCAGCAGTGAGTTCATCAAGAAACTGAGTCCATATTTTCCATTCTGGAAACAAGCTATCAGTAGCTAAATAGCTCACCTGATAATGTCAAAATACTTACTTTAAGTCCAAAAGCATGTAAAAATAACACGTAAAACAAACGAAATGAGATGATACCCATGTTGCAAATCCCTCGTTGAGCCATAAATGTGTCCACCATTCCATCGTGACGAGATTTCCAAACCACTGGTGTGCCAGTTCATGTGCCACGACAGTTGCAACCTTTTACGAAACCAAATGAAATGATTAAACATATGTTTGGGTGCAAAAACAATAGCTACATATCATATTGAACCAAAATAATTATGAAAGCTAGAGTGACATTTAGGATTTGCATTTTACCCTTTGCTTGTTAGCAGCTGCAGAATGCTGTTCATCAAAGAGCAAAGCTGTTTCTCGGTATGTAACTAAACCATAATTCTCCATGGCACCAGCAGAAAAATCAGGGATTGCAACCATATCCAATTTGGGCAAAGAGTATGGCACAGCAAAGTATCTGTAGAACTTTTCATCATTGATTTCATATTGAAAGCCAAATAATGCAGCATAAGCACAAAAGGGGGAAAAACCTAGAGGCACTACTACTTATAGTCCACAACATGCACCAAGTGTAATTGCAAATTTGAATATGAATGAGTAGTAATGTATTGTGATTTTGTGATCCATAACATACTCTTTGTACAACTCAAGTGTCTTGACAGCAACATACAAAGCAAACTTCCCTTGGTTTGCCTTGCCAACTTGACAATACACCCGCACTTTGACCCCTGTGACGAGATGAAATGTTACACCATCAATAAAAGGGTTGTGCTGACATACACATGAAACGAGTGATATAGTGGAGGACTTTACCATCAGATGTATGATCTTCAACATAATCAAACAATCCAATAACAACGGCCACCAAATATGTAGACATAATTGGTGATTCAAGATATGAAACTGTCTTCAGATGTCCATCCACTTTTTCTTCTAGAATCGACATGTTGGAAAGAGCTACTAATTCAGATGGAACACCATCCAATGTAATCTTGAATGTAGCCTGTCAATCAAACAGCCAGTAAGAATAAATGGGTCCAAGTTATAAACTCTAGATTTCAACAATTTGACCAGAACTGAAAGATTGATGTCTCATCTATACTTAAACAAAATCACTTGATACTAATACAAATCAAGATCTTCAGTCAACTGTGTGTGTGTGTGTGTGTGTGTGTGTGTGTGTGTGTGAGAGAGAGAGAGAGAGAGAGAGAGGGACCTTCCAAGCAGGTTCATCCCAACAAGGAAAGCACCGCCTGGCATCAACCGGTTCAAACTGTGTAACTGCCATATTTTTCTTCTCGCCATTATGCTCATATGTACTGCACAGAATAAGTCAAATTTTAAACGTCTCTACACCATTGAGATATGATAATATTGAAAGAACAAAAGAAGATACACGGCTGTACAACAAATCCAGCATCCAAAGAATACCTCCTATAGAAGCCTTTCATATTGTCATTCAAAATTCCTTCAAACCCAATAGCCAAAACTCCAATCCGAAGAGGCGCCCCAAACTCCAAAACCAAAATCCCGTCTTCTTGGAATGCCTCAACTTTCGAAGGCTCGAAAACCTGCTCAGACATTCATTCACTCGTTCAGTTAAGATCAAACTATCTTTCGAAATTAAAATGACAGCAAAATCAAATAAACAAAGAAGAAGATAGTGATTTTCCAAATGTTCTTTCCTTGTCCTGATCTGAGCAGACTTCATATCAACTGAAGTCCATTCACTTACTCATAGATCATGAACAGAGCATTTCAAAATCAACAAAAGCAATCAGAGATTGATTAATTCACTTGATATTTACTAATTGAAAAACGCATTTTTGTACAATTGTGTAAATCAAATGCATCGATCAGTTGTACCTTGGAAGAGTCTCCGTGAGTGAAGGACACGGAACCAGCATTGACGGAGAGCTCGGCGGCGTTGAGGACGATAAATTGGGTATCGGCAACGATATCGAGGTCGACGGAGACGGAGCCGCCGAATTTGCAAGTTGTGAGGTCCGGTTTGAGCCGTAATTCGTATCGTTTTGGGACGGCGAATTTCGGAAGGCGAGGTTGACCTTTGAACTGCTCCATATTTTGATATTTGCGAGCAGAGAGAGTTACAGAGTTTTCGTTTTTTTTGGGTCGAAATGAGAGTTCAGAGTTTAGAATTGAGATTCGAAGAGAATGAAACTGACCGAGAGTCGGGGATGTTATCACGACTACTTAACGTCTAAGAGCATCTCCAAGGGAGATGTCAAATACCAAACATCAAATTTAAATTTGATGGCTGATGTGGCAATTTGACATTTACATACTTTTACACTCCACCCGATATGTCAAATAAATAATTATTGTAACTGTCAAATCATTTAAGATAAAGAATAAAAAAAATAAAAAAGGAAAATAATAAATGAAAGTAATAGTCAGCTGTCTTTAAAAAATAATAAAATATTCATTTGACATCTTGCTTTTGAGAGCATCTCCAACCGATGTGTCAAAAGTGCCACATAGACCTTTAACGGTTAGAAATAACATTTCACATCACTCCAACCGATATGTCAAAACTGATGTGGAATGAAGGCTGGAGGTTGATATGTTATTTTTGACATACCAAAAGCAAGATGTCAAATGAATATTTTATTATTTTTAAAAGATAGTTGGCTATTACTTTCATTTATTATTTTCCTTTTTTAATTTTTTTTCTTATTTATCTTAAATGATTTGACTGTTACAATAATTATTTATTTGACATATCGGGTGGAGTGTAAAACTATCTAAATGTCAAATTGCCACATCAGCCATCAAATTTAAATTTGATGTTTGGTATTTGACATCTCCCTTGGAGATGCTCTGAGATGTCAAAAATAACATCTCAACCTCTAGCCTTCATTCCACATCAGGTTTGACATATCGGTTGGAGTGATGTGAGATGTTATTTCTAGCTGTTAAATATCTATGTGGCACGTTTGACACATCGGTTGGAGATGCTCTAACGTATGGTATTTTTTTTGTCTTTTCTTATGTTTATTGCTTTTTTTTTTTTTTTGGGTGGTATTTCCTTGTAAAGAATATGATATAAATAGTTTTATAAATTCTTTACACTGTTGATTTAAAACAAAAAAATCAAGAGGATTTGTACACATTGTTTTGGTATTTTACTGTGGGGGTAAAATAATATAGGAAAACTTGTCCACTTAGCAATGTGATTCAAAGCTGTGACACTTCATTAAAATAGATTTTCCGTGAAATATTAAATATGCTAGATGTTTGTTCTGAGCATGTGTGTGAGTGCAAGTTGATAATTGATTATCAAACGGAGGTTCTATTTGATATAAATTTGAGTGTTAAGTTATTTATATGTGAGTCACCGATTGATTTTAAAATGTCTTAATTTAAACTTCCAAATTATTCGAATTGTGAAAACGTTTTATTTTGTTGTAGACAAATCATTCTTAAATTTCAATTTCATATATTGTCGATATGATTTTGCCATCTACAACACCCTCTCTATCCTTCCACATGGAAGACAACTTTCTCCGAGACTTCCACGGCAAGAAATAAGGAGTGCAAGGGAACAGAAGGATATATTCGTCGGATGGGATATGAATCAAGGAACCAGGGAAAGATTGACAAGCTTTCACATCCACAGTTCAAAGTTAGGTGCAAAGACGAGGGAATAATAATTATAAAATACCAAAAAATTAAGGTTCGTTCGAGGCATTTGATTCTCTTGCAGTTTCCAATCAAACTTCTCGTCCTCGGTGTTATTGGGGTTCCTTCCTTAGCTTATGGGGTTGGTTATATTTTATCATATTTTATTTTATTTTAGTTGATTAACATAGAATCATGGAATTTATGCGTGACTTAAGATGCTCACTCTTTGATCCAACCAAAAAAAAAATGCTCACTCTTTCAATTTTCAAACATATTATTCATTATTATACTAACCTCTCCGTACGTGCTTCCGTGCATGCGAGAGGTTTTTTTTTTAACAAAATTTAAGTTTACTTTAAAATTAAAAAAGATCATGGGCAGTTGTGTTCCATAAAAATATGATTCATTATTTGATTTTTCTTTTAATTTTAAATTTTAATATGAAAAAGTGTGAATTACCATATTCTTCTCATTTAATTAATAATTTTAATTCTTAATATTTGGATTAACCAATGACATTTTCTGATATTTTGAATGTTTCACCATTTTCTGCATTTTGCTTTATATATATAGATTACAATGCCAAATGAGCCCTAAGTTTAACATATTAGATATACAAAAAGTCTTGTTCCCCTCCAATTAAAAATAATTTATGTCACTTGTAAAAACACAGGGGAAGCATATAGGAAAAATGCAAGAGGCCTCTAGAGTCTTCATGCCAATTTGTAACATAATTATATATTCATATTTGTATCGAACTGGCATGCAATATCATTGATTATTGATATTGTTTTGGTAATTTTATTAACTTATTAACAAGTTAGAACGAGACTTAAACTTACACAATTTAACATTTACCAAGCACATCATTGTAAATATAACACTAACATGTTTCCTTAAGGAATTATTTGGTTTGCGGAAAATATTTGATGGGAAATGGAAAATTTCTTTCCTTTTCATGTTTAGTAATGTTAGGAAAATAATAAGGAAATACCACTTTATCTCCTTTCACATGTTTGGTTTACATAGGAATGTAAACCAAAGGTTGTTTAAATTTTCAATTATACTCATATGAAATCAAATAAAAAAAAGATGCATTTAGTGCTATATTGTAATTCTAAATTATTAACAGAGACAAAATGATAATGAAAAATGTGCATTTAATGCTGGTTCATTCTCCCAAACTTTTCTATAAAGAGGGAAAACAAAACTCAAGGAGGGAGGAGGGCTTTATTTTCCCTCTACTTTCCCATATGTCAAACAATCATTTATCATGTTTGGACTTTCCCGTAAACCAAATAGGGCCTAAATGTTTAGTTAACAAGTCAGAGGCTTGTAAGTCAAATGGTTAAGAACATTTACACTGCACGCAAGGTCCTACAATTCCCCCTTCCCCAATATCAATTGTTAAAATAATAATAATAAATAATAAATAGAGAAAATTAATAATAAAAATGCAGGCCCAGTTGTCTGATCAATTCTCAAAAGGCCCGAGAATATGAGCCCCAGTTATCACTTTCCCAGTGCTTTTGAAACAGCCCAATCTAGCCAAGAATATATATACCGGCCCATAACGTTTTTCATCTGGGTGTGAAATCGGACCTGCCACCTGTGACGAGATGGGGATCCTCACAGACTCTCAGAACAAGAGAAGCCCCTCTTCTTCTTCAACATCACCATGTGCTAATCTCAGAGCTACTTACCACAATTGTTTCAGCAGGTCATCTCTCATTTTCTTTATATGTAGCTTTTCTATGTTCTTTGCAGACAAATCGTATCCCTTATTCCCCGTAAATCCATCTTCAACCCTAATCTATTTCTCAATACCCTCAATCCATTTTTGGTTTTTCTGAAAAGGGTTTTGATATTATGTGCAGGTGGTATTCAGAGAAGTTTGTAAAGGGTCAATGGGACAAAGAAGAATGCGTTTCAGAATGGCAGAAATACAAAGCTTGCCTCTCTGTAAGTTTTCGATAAAAACCATCTCCCGAGTCTTCATTGAAATCATCAATACTTGCTCAATTCGTTTGTTGGGTTTTTTTTGTTCTTGTTCTGGGCAGCAACATTTGGCAGATAAACAGTTGAGTCGCTTCTTGGAGGCTGAAGGGCCTGTGAGCTCCACCATTGAAGTTGCTTCCTCCAGAACAACCAAAGCCGATGGCGCTCCGACTGGTTCTTCTCAGTAGTTTTTGCTTTCGTTTATGTTAGAACTTGCTGTGTTCAAAGAGCAAATTGTTTGACGTCTAGATTGTACTTTTGCTGAGCTAGTTAATCCACACGATGATATCATTTGAAGTTTACAATCTCAAGAGGAACATTATTGAACAACAAAGATACAATTCATTTCCATTGACATTGCTGCTTTTACAATCTCAAGAAGGAACATTATTTGATTGAACTACAAAAATACATTTGATTTCCATCGGCGTTGCCTCGTAGCGAAACAGGCTTTCATTACTTCATTTCTTCTCGAATAGGAAATGAGCAACCATCCACTCTTCTCCATTGTTATACCCAAAGAGTTCTGCAACGGAAATGAAGAATGTTCTCCAATATACGGTCCACTTCACAGCCGAATCCTTTCCATAAGTTGACTCCATAATTGGTTTTATGGAAGCCATATTCTGGTCCATTCTCTTAAGCCACTCTTCACTGCAAAACAAAAGGGTTTTCAGCTTGCTCTTAGTATTTGAGGCATCCCAAAGTAAAGAGTTGAGGTTTACCTTGTCTGTGCATAGTGTTTCCCATTAACAAGCCAATGATTGACAATGGAAACATCATCCTGCAAAAAAAAATCATCACCAAGAAGCCATTAACAAGTGATCTGGATGACCTCTGAATCTCCTCGTTACTTATTAATGCTACAAGATTATCAAGCCTCTAGTAGTAAGACTGTTAGCAAGCAAACGATCGAATTCGAAGTTTGACAGTGGGAAAGTAATGTGAGGGGATCACCTGAAAATAAAGTAGTAGATTTGCTGAAGGCATTGTGCCCCCACTGAAGAAATACCTAGTAATCCAGTCATCTTCACTTTTGTCCTGCATCAGAAAAAAGGCAGGAAAAAAAGTTATGCACTTAACGTGGATGATGTGCCACTAAGCAAAATGAAATCTTCTTCCGGTTTCACCTCAAAATGGTAAGCAAATGCTTTGTGGCAGAAATGATGAACAAACAGAAGGCAATCCTGTTTCATCCACCTGGAAATCTTCTTCAGAAGATACTTGTAGTTCTTCATATGCTGTCAAATGCAAAAACCAATTCTTCAACAAAATCAACAATGTAACATCATGCCTACCACATCACGTAGCATGAAAAGGGCTTTACCTCGAACATTTCAATCGAAAATATTCGGTCATAGGATGCTTCCATCTCAAATGTGCTGATATCTGCGACTATGATCTCTACATTCTGCAGCTGAAGATTCCTACAAATTGGCAACAAAACTCACTTGAATCAAAGCACATAGTCTATCAACTCATAATCTGGTTAACATTAACATATAATCGTTACGCACCGGCATTGCTCTTCTATGAAGGCCTGTTGTGTTGTTGAATTGCAAATCCCTGTAACCTTACAGTTGCTATATTTCTGAGCAATGTACAAAGGCAAAGATCCCCAGCCACACCCAACATCAAGAACAGTGTGACCATCTTTTATCTGTGACCTTTCGCAGTAAAGCTCCAGCATTGCCTTCTCAGCTTCCTCCAGGGTGCTTGACCCATCAGTGAAGTAACAACTGCTGCAATATGAGACCATATTTACCGAAATTAGACACAACTCCCAAAAATAATGGAACAAAAAAGCAAAAAAAAGAAAGAAAAACACCCTAAAAGTACCTGTATTTGAGATTTTTTCCAAGCACTATTTTGAAAAAAGATGTGGGCACTTCATAATGTTGAGCTTTCGGGTCATCAGTGTTTATGGCTATGGGCATCTCCTTCAGAGCTGTATTAACAGAAATAATACCTTAAACTCCAATTAACTACTAATATAAACTATAATTTGAGAGTACAGAGGAGAGGAGGGGTTAGTTTACACTGTACGAACTGGAGGAGGTCAGAGAGTTGGAGCTCAGAGGTAGGCTTGTAACCGGATCGAAGACGACTTGCTAAGAGCAGGCGGGTCAGCCTCCGTACAACCGCATCCGGTAGCAAATTTCGCTCCAGCGAAGATAGCGCGAACCGGACCGTAGCATCGTACGGTGCTTGCATTATCCGGTTCATTCTCGCTTCGTTTCTTCTAGCTCCGCCCACTCTCTCGCTGCCTTTGCTTCCTCTCTGGCTACTGGTATGGACTAAATTAGCTGTCCATGTCGTACCTCATACCAACCGTCGACGTGGACCCCAGCAGAGGCACACACAAAAACAGGTAAACAAATAAAAAATTAACAATAAAAAATTAAAAAAGAAAAGAAAGAAGAAGAAAAAGTGTGCAATGACGATTATGACCCTGTGAAGCTGCTATGAGTTGACACAGCGACGATTCAAACCTACTCCATTTTCGAGAACACTAGAGACAAAACATTCATCTTCCTTTCGCCTTTAACATTTGTCACGTTAACGTTTTCCCGGAAAATTTTAACGCGATTTCCGAGGAGATACCTAAACCAACCAGACGCTTCTCTTCAGCAAGGCATCTCTATGGAGTTCAGAGACTGAGACTAAAGCGAGGTTGGTTCATGTTGGTATTGTAAATTTGGTGATATTTCATTGGTTTTCTTTTTTAGCATTTCTGATTTGGTGTATCAGTTTAATTTTGATTATGATTGTGTGCTAAGTAGCTATTTTCGTTTTGTTTTTGTTGTTTGATCCAAAAGAATCTCTAAGATATCAGAGACAAGCTGGATTGCTTACAAGTTCCCATGGTCGCTTTGGTTGGTGATTATGTTATCAGATTGTTTTGTTGGCAAAGATAAAGATGATGTTGCGCAAAACTGAGTCTGTGAGCAACAGCAGTGCTGGGAATTCCAACCATGGTCAATTGTTGCGTGACATTGAGGAAATAAGCAAAGCCCTTTACTTGCATAAACCCCCTCCAAAGGTTTTGCTTTCCCCTTCTAATGCACGATCCAAATCTGCTGGGAAAACCCGTTTTCCGGAATCGAAATCAAATTTGAATTCAAACCCAAGATTACTTAGGGAGGATTTGTTGCATAAGGACAAGAAATCATCTTCAGTATGGAATTGGAAGAAACCCTTAAAGGCTCTCACTCATATTGGGAATCGGAAATTTAGTTGTTGTTTTTACCTTCATGTCCATTCAATTGAAGGGTTGCCAGAAAATTTCAACAATCTTAGTGTATGTGTGCATTGGAAGAGAAAGGATGAGGTGGTAGAGACTCGATCTTCGAGGGTAGTAGAGGGCGTAGCTGAATTTGATGAAACTTTGATGCACAAGTGTTCTGTGTATGGAAGTAGAAATGGCCCTAACCATTCGGTTAAGTATGAGGAGAAGCTTTTCTTGATCTACGTTTCTGTGAGTGGGGCACCAGGGCTTGATATTGGGAAGCATTGGGTGGATCTTACGAGACTGTTACCACTTACTTTTGAGGAGTTAGAAGGGGAAAAGAGTTATGGTAAGTGGACAACAAGCTTTAACCTTTCAGGCAGAGCTAAAGGTGCTAGTTTAAATGTTAGTTTGGGGTTTTTGGTGACGCGGGATAAGTCAGTTGATGTGAGCGTTAATCCTAATGTTCCTGAGCATATAAACACGGAGCAGAGAAGGTCAAGTTCTTTGGATAGTGGAGCTACGATGCTTCGGCGAGTTGGGAGTGTGCCAAGTAGTGTAAACCCCAGGCCTGCCTTCTCATCTCAGTCTCTTGATTTGAAGGTCTGTCGAGAAGTATTACTGACGGGAGGGTTGGAGCTCTCGAAGTCAATTAATTTTTTATGTCAGGCACTTGATGAGGCGAACTTGAGTAGTGCGACGGAGTCAGATGCGGAACATGTGTCGCCACTCAAACCTAAGCCTGATCTGGACCTTTTGGCTGCTGAAAAAAATGAAGAATATGAGGATGATGACACTGAATTTAACGTTGTAGAAGTGGGGACAGAAATGTCTGAACAGTTGAAATCTGATCAAGTTCCTGGTCATGCTAATGATGAGTCTGCTGTTGAAATGATCTATGTTGATGAGATCATTAAGGATTATAACGTAGACCTCGATGAGAAGACTATGGTTATTGCAAAGGATGCCTGTGATAGTTATGTGGACAAGGTTGCGATGGATGACAGCAAACATGAAAAGGATAGCATATGCACCGAAGGATCAACCATGGAAAAAATGGATTCTGCTTCTCATTTTCAGTTCATTTCAGAATCAGCAGATTTGGATCTTCCATTTGTTTCAGGAGAGTTTTTTGAGGAAAAAAAACACATGGAGCTTAAGTCGACTTACAAAGCAAGTAAAACAGGTAAAAAGTCACTTAGCTTGGATGATGTTAATGAATCTGTCTCAAATGATTTCTTAAGCATCCTGGGGATGGACTGTTGCATGAGTTCTGATAGTGATGCCGAGTCTCCTAGAGAACGTCTCTTAAGAGAGTTTGAGAAAGATACTCTGGCTTCAGGAAACGTATTTTTCAATTCTGATTGGGACGAAGAACAGCCTGAAATTGGATCCTCTGTTTCACCAGGTTCTGATTTTGGAGATTGTTTTGAGAATTCTGATTTGTCTTTGATAATCCAAGCTGCTGAAGAGGAGCACAAGAGAGCAAGTGAGCTATTAAAGAGAAGGAAGGCAAAAATTCTTGAAGGCTTGGAGACTGAAGCTTTGATGCGAGAATGGGGATTAAATGAAAAAGACTTTCAGAATTCTCCCCATATCTGCTCCGGTGGATTTGGTAGTCCAATTGAGCTCCCCCTTGAAGAGCCACTCCTACCTCCACTTGAAGAAGGCTTTGGTCCTTATGTTCGGATGAAGGGTGGAGGCTTTTTGCAGTCAATGAATTCTTCACTTTTCAAAAATGCTAAAAATGGTGCGAACTTGGTCATTCAAATTTCTAATCCAGTTGTCATACCACCAAAATTGGGTTATGATGTTATGGAGATAATGCAGCATCTGGCATTAGTTGGAATTGATAAACTGCGGGAGTGGGTTAATCAATTAATGCCGTTGGAAGATATTACTGGGAAGACAATACAAGAAGTTGCATGGGAGGCAGCACCAAACACAGTGGTTTCTGAGAGGTTTGTCAGCACAATAATTACATTGATTTTTGAAGTAGTGATTTCAAATAGTTTTCTACTTGCTGGCTTACTTGTCGTTTTTGTTTCAGGTTTGAGCAGATTTTATATGATGGGAGGCAGGATGAAGGATTTCCATCAAGTTGGAGTTGTAATAACCTGAGATCAGAATTGGGAGGTAGTGAGATGGGATCAGACTCTGTATCTCTAGAATATCTAGCTCCTTTTGCTATGGCGAAAATTGAAGCCCTCTCACTAGAAGGGTTAAGAATACAGTCCCATGTGTCAAATGGAGAGACACCTTCAAGTGTATTTCCTCAGTCTGGTGGGAAAATGCCAGCCTTTGGAGGGAAGAGTGCCAATCATGGCGAGGTTCTCAGGTCAGGAGGAGTTGAAGGGTTGCAACTATGCGATTTTGGAGACTTTGATGATGACGTTGACGAATTAATGGCTCTATCTCTATCACTGGAAGAGTGGTTGAGGCTAGATGCTAAAATCATTGGTGATGAAGATTACAGCAGAGAACAAATATTGAAAATCCTTGCTGCCCATCATGCCAAGTGCTCAGATTTGGTCGGTGGAAGGTTGACGCGAGAGATACACTGCAATGATTTATCTGGTAGCGAGTGTGGACTTTTGGGGAACAACCTCACAATTGCTCTCATGGTGCAGCTTAGAGATCCCTTTCGAAACTATGAACCTGTGGGCGTGCCAATGCTTGCTCTAATCCAAGTGGAGAGATTTTTAGCCCCTTTAATGCCAAAAATGTCTAATGAGCTGTTAAACAGTAGCAAGGAGAACGAACACGATGAGCCAGTGTTTGACGATATTGGTGACAAGAAAGAAAGGGAGACAAATGAAGGAGATGAAGGAGGCAATCCTCAGTTTAAAATCATTGACGTTCATCTTGCAGGAGTGGATGCTGCTCCTGGCGACAGGCAGCTTTGGGGTACCACAACACAGCTGCAGTCCGGGTCGCGATGGTTGCTTGGCAGTGGCATGGGTAAGCCCATTAGTTTTCCACTTTCGAGCTCAACTGCCATTGTAAGATCATCCCCACTGGTTTCAGCAAAGCAGCGTAGAGATGCTTTATGGAGCATTTCCTCTCATTCTCAAGGAGCAGGAGCTACCTGGAAGGATTCAATAGCTCCTCATATTCGAAACCCCAACGTCATATTTCCAAAGGAAACCATCAAACCACACGTAAACATGTAGTAGTTAGCTCTTCCTTCGTAGCATATATTCTTTTGTTTGTAGAGTGAATAGAGAGGTGAAGGCTTATTATTGCCTTTTCTTTTCATGTTACCCAAGCTAGTATCATACACATATGGCCAGACCAAGTGGCCAAGTTTGCGTACAGGTTTTTTTTGAATGATAGAATCTGTTGTGTTACACTTCAGACGAATGAAACAGATTCATATGCATTGATGATTTAAAGCAGAAGCTTCTGGCTCTCTTTTGTAAACCATCCTGCTTTCTTCTTTAGAAGAAAGTTTATTATTTATTGAATAAATTCAATTCCTGATAAATTTTTTTTAAGAAATCTTTTTTTTTTGGTTTGGTTGGTTAGGGCAGTCGCTTTGTTCACATCAGTTTGTGAACAAAATTTGGAAAAAAACTTTTGGTGTCTCAAGTATTATTGAAAATCATGTTACAAGGGAAGCCAAAAATGCTTCATGACACGAAATTAGAGGCTCTGATGGTTATGAATGCCCTCATACGTTGTAATTACAAACCTTGGATCATCTCTATCTCTTTCTACTCTCTTTTTCACAGGGCAGCCTTCAACTGAACACTTGTAGTAATTCCTGCAACCAAACATAACATGCTCAGATCAGATCAAACATGTCTAAAATCACATCTATATTCGATCAATCTTGCTATATTTTTACTTTGTTTTTTACCTTGGATTTGGGCTGTTCTTCACCATCTTTTTACCATACTTCCTCCACTTGAAACCATCATCCAATATTTCAACCTCTGATTTTGTTTTGAATGCAACTCTTTCTCTAACTTCCTGCCTCTCCCGTACGGTGCCGCTTTCATTCTCTCCTGCTAACACAAACACAACCAAATGGCTCGAGCATGAGATGAGATATAGAGATTATAGAACAAAAAGAAGAATTAACAAGTAGTTTTATTTTATATGCTTACTGCTATTAGACCCTCCAAGTTGGCTGCTACTTCCACGAGACTCATCAACTTCATTTGCTTGATACCCCGAATTCTGGACGGTCTCCAAAGCCATGGAAGTCCGATGATCTTCATCTAGCCACTCACCAATCATCAAGTACTCGGAAAACTCGAAATTGGACTGGTCGGAAAAGTCATTCTCAGGTGACTCTTGTGCTCTAAAGTTGTTGCTGTTAGACATCAATTTAGCTACTAAAAATGTGGTGAATGCCTTTTAACACATAACTTTGTGACCAAACTGCATGTTGATATCATACATATATCATCGTCTCCATGGCTCAGAAGGAGGCTTCATCGTGACCTTCCTAAGCAATGATGGGAAGCTTCAACGCTGATGCTAAGTAGAAGTGCCACATAGATATCTGAACATATGAATTAGGCCAAAACCAAGTCCAGAGAGAGAGAGAGAGAGAGAGAGACAGAGAGAGACAGAGAGAGACAGTATAATAGTACAGTAGTGGGGCATGGCAAAGGATGACTTGAGGGAAGACTTAAATTTGATTTGTGTGACTTAACTTGAGGGTCTCGTGCTTAGACCAGCGCTTATTCACCTTCACATTTGAGAAAATAATTCAAGTCAATTGTGATGATCAGTTGAGGCGTGATACGCTGGTTCTGGTACCACATAATCTTATATATGCAGTACTGCGGCAGCTGAGCTCATAAATTTTGACATTTCATGTTACATTTGTTACAGCTGTTTGTTTGTGTCCTGTCCACACGTTGGTTGATCTTCAATACAACTTACTAGCACATGCTAGGCCCGTAAAGGAAGTGTTTTTATAGAAAGCACTTTACTTTTGTTCATTAGTGTTTTGGCTTTTATTCGAAGCAAAACACAACAAATGAATTTTTCTAACATGGGATTTCATTAAAAATCAGCCATGAGATGGGTTTTTCCTTTTTCTTTTTTCTTTTTTCTTTAGTCAAAGCTACCTATCAGTCTGATTTGAGCATTTCTCCCCTTACAAACGTCTCAAGCCAAGTCATTGAGACCCATCGTTCAATTTCAATCAATCCGTCAACAACAAGAATTAATCAAAATGCTGATAATCCTTTCAAATTAGGATCAGGACAGCCGACAGCCCTTACGAAACGATTAACCAAAGGAAGTTTGTTGGTAACTTCCAGTGCCGTTGTTGAAGGGTCCACTCATTAACACAGATTTCCAAGGTCGAGCAAACCAAACCCTTTCTGCCTTCCTATCGGTTTCATTTCAGTCTTTGGAATCTTATCATGTCAAGATCAAGTTCGGCAGCTAAGCAATACCGTTGAAACACAAATTTTTCATACAATTTAGTGGGAGCTGTACGAAGGAACAAAAAACGGTGTCAAGGGTGAATTTGTCCCCTTGAATCGAAGTTTGACACCTTTTTATACGTTAGAGTAATTTTACGATAAATATTTTTAACCCCTATAAGAACATTTCTAGAAGAGTCTCCAAATTTTAATCCCGTATTACATTTTATTCTTTATTTTTAAATCACCCGCTACATTAGGGCAGTTTGAACCCAACAAACGACTGGGTAGGTACCCTACGACTAAAAAAATAAACGAATAGGTACCCAACGACGTCGTTCGCTGGAAAATATATATCGTCGGTGCTTTCTTGTCACTGCCCCTTTCTGTGTTTACTGTGCTCTTACCGTGACGCCATGGCGCGCCGAAAGCACAGAGCGACCCCGCCTTCTGCACCCGCCGAGAAATCGGATAACCGACGTCACTTAAGCATGGAGAGGTCGGCTTACTTCGCTAGGAGAGAGGCGGCGAAGGTATTGAAGCTCGTTCTCCAAGGAGACGCCAAGCGCCAGTCCGTCGGCTCTATTAAGACGCTCGTTTACGGTCCCTCAGTGAGGAACAAGAAAGGCACGTTTGCTTTGATCTGCCAAACCCTAAAGTGTAAGTTCACGACCCTCGCCAAGTTCAGAAATGCACACGTTTTCATAGCTTCGGTTCTGTTTGGCCGCAGAGAAAATTGATTTTCTGCTTTTATCTGCTTTCAGATCTTTCGATAATCCAAGACGTGTTGAAGGCCGCCGACGTATTGAACAGCAAGTGGAAGGTATAAGAAGAACACGTTCTCTGTTATCCATGGAAATTAGAAATTCATTTATTGTTTATTTATGTATTAGTTTATCAGTTTGGCTAGCATTCTAAGCACTGAAATGGTTACTTGTGGTATTGCAGAAGCAAGACGAGTTAGTATACATAGTCACCTATGATATTCTTTTTGGCCAGGTAATGTCTTTTAGGCTGTCTTTTATACAGCATGAGCTTTTGTGCTACTAATTTCATGCCATGGTTGTAATTTTTTATATGAACTGTGAATTTGAAATCTATAGGTGAGTTCATCAGCAGTCGGGGATGCGGAGAAGTTTCTCATGCGTCGCAAAGAGGCTCTGCAGGCAGCTCTAGCGCGGCTTTTAGTGAAGAAAAAAGTGAAGAGTGTGGAAGAGTTGATAGCTCTTTATGATATACCTGGTGTGTATGTGTGTGTTTGGCTTCACATTGTTATTTTTACATTCATCTTGTTGAGCCTACTCTTCAGTTGTAGGACTACCAGAGTGAAACTGATGGAAATAAATTATGTTGATTTGCAAATTTGTATTTTGTAAAATACCAATGGGGATTATGGTATTGGGCAATGGAATACTGATTTGTTGGTTTGCCATGTACCTAAAAGTTTAAACTGTTAGTATGTGGACCAAAAATTAGGAAATTAGTTTTTGTTCTAACCCTAATATCTGTTGCAGATATTTCAAATCCTCGTTATGTTCGTGTAAATACTCTGAAAATGGATGTTGAGACTGCCGTCCTTGAATTACAGAAGCAATTCAAGGTATTTCAGGAACTTTTATCGTTGAGTTTTTTTGTTAGAATGTGATTATGTTCTAAAGTATTTTGTTTGTTACACATTAGAAGTAATCTTATGATTGAGTTTTTCATGTGCTAGTCTTCTGTAGTTTAATCATTGTGTTACTGAGACACTTTTTCTCTTTTGGTTTTCTTACATATAGGTTCATAAGGATGACCTGGTTCCCGACTTGTTGGTTCTTCCACCGTGTAGTGATCTCCATGATCATCATCTAATAAAGAATGGAAATGTCTTTATGCAAGTAAGAATTTCGATAATCTTTTGCAAGTGTAGTTTTCTTATAAAATTTTGAACCAACCTTGATGTCATCTGATTCTTATTTGTTGAGGCACGGCACTGATGGTTCTGTGCCATTGAAAAATTTGTGTCTTAGCTGTGATAGAAATTTCTCATTCATTTGTTGATCATTTTATTACATAGGGAAAGGCAAGCTCTATGGTGGCAGCAGCCCTTGCTCCAAAACCAGAATGGGAGGTTGGTAAAGTTTGTACAGCAGTAATTACTGTGCACTCTGGTCGCTGTCAGCAATTTTTTTCTTATGTTTCTAGCTAGGATTGGGGTTGAGAATTCGAGATTGATACAACAGTTTTATTCCTACTAAAGCTGATTTTCCTTGAAGGTTCTCGATGCATGCTCAGCTCCTGGAAACAAAACTGTACACCTTGCAGCTCTTATGAGAGGAAAGGGAAAGGTCATAGCTTGTGAGCTGAATGAAGAAAGGGTTAAACGTTTAAAAGAGACTATCAGACTCTCTGGTGCTTCTAGTATCCTTCTGCCTATATTATTTATTTATTTTCATTTTACTCTTATTTCTTGTTGGAAGTAGTGGAATTACAGAAATCTTACTGTTGCATGAGATTTCCCATTTCTATGAATTGAGTAATATGAAATATGATACTTCCTCTTGTTTGCTGTTGCCTTATCAACTTAATATAATATGACATTTGACTTAACCTGGACGGTAGATATTAAGGTTGTGCATGGAGATTTCTTAGACTTAAACCCTGAAGATCCTCCATATTCCAAGGTAAGATAAATTAACTTCCAATCCTCTTTCACTTTTCTCCTCTTAGTTGCAATTACATGTTTCCAAACATCGCCCATGCATGCTTACAACCAAATTCAATTTTACAGGTGCGCGCCATTCTCTTAGATCCTTCCTGCTCTGGATCTGGGACTGCTTCTGCAAGATTAGATCATTTGCTCCCATCTTCTGCTCCAGGTAACTTCTACGGTTAGATAGCTCCTTAAGTCTGTAATTGCTTGAAATTCACCCTATTGAAATATAATGACATAGTCTGCACCATCTGAGAGTGTTTATACTCCTCTGGCAGAAGTTTGGGACAGAAGTCTCATCCAATAATGAGAAAGGAAGTTTATTCAGTGTAAAAGTCTAAGTTCCTTTTGTTTTTGCAAATTAGTTTAATTCTTTGTTTTCTAAAATACATAGGTCAAGCTGCTGATTTTACCAGCACAGAAAGACTGAACAAGCTTGCGGCCTTCCAGAGAAAAGCTCTAGCTCACGCTTTATCTTGTAAGTTTGTTTCTCTATCAGATGTTGCCTCATGGTTTTTATTTTCCATTAATTCCAAAGACTCAACAATCCAGTTGTTGATAATCTGTGAGTATTTCAATGATATCAATGGATGTGTGTACCACTCTTGCCAGTTCCGGAAGTTGAGAGAGTTGTTTACAGCACATGCTCTGTCGACCAAGTTGAAAATGAAGATGTTGTTAAATCTGTTCTACCACTTGCTGCATCCAATGGTTTTCAACTGGAAACTCCCTTCCCAGAATGGCACCGCCGTGGTCTCCCGGTTGTCGAGGGCGGTTAGTAAATTTTTAAACTTTCACAAATATGTTAATAAAAATGATCAGATATTCACATTTCACTGTTTTCTTGGCTCGCAGCTGAATGCTTGCTTCGGACTGATCCCAAGGAGGACAAAGAAGGCTTCTTCATTGCTCTGTTTGTCAGGAGGAGCTCTGGGAATCAGTCAGAGAAACCTAACGCCGACGGACACACTCACAGAGCTTCGACGGCAAAGAGAAGTTATGTGGGAGCTCATCTCAATCTGTTTAAAATGTTTGCACATGCGCATTTGAGTCGGCGTAATTGTAGTCATTGCGATTGTTGTTAAAGGGTCTGCCCTCAATTTTAAAAGTTCTATTTTGTTAATTAAGCACCATTTTAGGTCCTTAGATGCGTGTTTTCATATTTTGTAACTAAAATGCCACACAAAATTTAAAAAAAGAAAAAAGTAAAAACAGAGATTGAAGAAGAAATATTACAACCATATGGTTCATTGATAAAAACCGCACTTCACAACTGATCAGAAAATGCAAAAGCTTGGCACACCAGAACACAAACAAACAAGAAAATGAAACACATCCGGATTAATACCAAAAGGCCTTAAAACCTACCCATTCCCTTATCATAAGCTATAAGCATAATGAAGCTCATAAACCCAAATCTCGGAGAAAACTCCTCAAGCAATCTTGACCTCAATGGTCTTGGGCTTCTTTGGCTCAGGCGGAGGCAGCTTCTCCACAGTCACAGTCAGGACCCCATCTTGGCAAACAGCAGAAATGGCTTCTAGATTGGCATTCTCAGGCAGCACAAACTTCCTCATAAACTTGCCGACCCTCCTCTCCATCCTGACATACTTAGCCCCCTCCTTCTCCTCCTCCCTCTTCCTCTCGCCGGAGATCACAAGCACATTATCGTCCTCCACCTGGACCTTGATGTCTCCGGACTTGAGGCCTGGCATGTCCACGACGAAGACATAGGAGTTGGGATACTCCTTGACGTCCGCCGGCGTGGAGGCCATGGCCTTGGCGTCGCGGACGTAGGTGCGGGTGGGGGCGTTGAACGATTTGTCAGGCTCGTCGTTGAAGTCCATGATGTGCTGCAGTGTAGAGAAGAGTGGGGAATCCAAACCCGCGATTCTCACGTCCATGTTTCTCTTTTTACTGGCTGGAATTCTCGCTTTGAATTTGTGCTTGCTTAGTGCTTTGTTTGAACTCTGAAGGTGCCTCTGAATTTTTGTTGCTGTGATGGAGAAGAAGAGCGGGGGTAGTGGGAATTTATAGAGGGGATAAATTGAGGAACAAGGTGCTTAGCGGCGAGAGGAAATGGAAGGTTCTGGAGACACGTGGAATGAAGTAAGGGGTTCCAGTAGGTTCGCTTGCTTATTCTGTATGCGTCTAGAACGTTGTGGAAGGTTTAGTAGAGTCAGGGTCACATTGGTCATTACGGTAAACGTATTTTATTTCGTGAAAAAATCTTCTGGAAAAGAGAAGCACCAGACCGATAGATATTTGGTGCAGTTCCTACTATTAGTAGTAAAAATAAAATAAGGGAAATTTGTATAAATATCATCTAAATTTTTAAGCATGTGCGAAATTACAACCTGAATTTTTAATTTTTATTATTAACTATTTTCAGTTTATATAGTGTTGCAATGTACCATTTACATCTAATTTTGTTAAATTTTCTGTTAAATTTAATGGCATTTCGGTCAATTTCTTTTATAACTAAAAAATTTAGAATTTCTAAGAGTAATATAATTATAAATTTTTTTTATTTTTATTCATGCATCCTCCAACCCCAATTCTTCTCCGCCACCACCCAGTAGCTCCCTCCCCGACCCTCTGCGTAAACCCTACTTTATACCTCTCCCGCTGTTCCCCTCCCCCGAATCCAACAAAATTTGATGTAGGTTGTTGAAGAATTGAGTAATCAAAAGACAGATATGTATACTCTTCTTCGGTGGGTGGAGGGAGAGAGAGAGAGAGAGAGAGATGTAGGGTGTATGAAGACATTGCAGGGGGGCGGGGCATGGCACTGCGACATTGGAGTTGGAAGGAATTAGTGAGGTTAGGTTTTTTATTTTTTTAAATTATTTGTTTAATAACATAATTATGTACATTTTAACATATTTAAATTTTATTGTTATAGGGAATTAACCGAAATGCCATTAAACTTAATAGAAAATTTAAGGAAGTTAGATATATGTGATACATTGCAACACTACATAAAATTTAAATTTAAGTGATAATCACACACAAGGCTAAAATTTAGGTGGTAATCACACACAAGGTTAAAAATTTCATGTGATATTTATGTAAATTTCTCATAAAATAAACTATTTATAACCGCATTTGTTTACTTTTTCCCCAAATTAACTAGTTAAAAAATTAATGTATTACTTTCCTTTAATCTAATTGTGTTCAAATGCATGGGTGAATTATAAACTGTTGTAATAGCTAATAGATATAGGTATAACCACCATTTACATATATGTAATTCAAAAGGAAGGGACATCCACATTCACTCATTAAGAAGACACAAAAAAATAAAAATAATAAATAAATAAATAAATTACAAGACGTACATGTGCCCCATGATTAACTACAACCTTCCACTCTTCTTATTCAAACAAAAAGCAAAACAAAAGAGACGAGACCAAAGCATACGATAATTACACATAACAGCACCCCAAACAGAGAACCATATATGCATGCACACAGCTTTATTTACATATACATAGTACATGTACCATACAGATCTTCAGTTACTGCCCCACAAAATTCATGCACGCCCATCAGAGCCCCGCCCGCCTTGCCCTTACCTGTCTTGGCCCCCACCTTGTCCACCTTGACTGCCATGTTGGCCCCCTTGTCCGCCACCTTGGCCTCCCTGCCCGCCGCCTTGATCACCTCCATGTCCTCCTTCGCCGCCCTGACCACCTCCATGTCCTCCTTCGCCACCCTGACCACCGCCTTGGCCGATTTGTTTGCCCTGACCGCTGCCTTGGCCGCTGCTTATTTGGACCTGAACAGTCTTGGGCTTCTTAGGCTCAGGCGGCGGCTTCTTCGCCACACTCACAGTCAATACCCCGTCCTGACACTCGGCAGAGATCTTCTCAATATCAGCATTTTCAGGCAGCACAAACTTCTTGAGGTACTTGCCAAGCCTCCTCTCCAGCCTCAAATACTTAATACCCTGATCCTTCTCCTTTTCTCTCCTCCTCTCCCCGCTCACCACCAGCACGTTGTCGTCCTCAACTTGAACGTTGACCATATCCGGCCTCAGCCCGGGCACGTCCACAACAAAAATATAGGCGTTTTGAGTCTCCTTGATGTCGGCTGGCGTGGCAGCCATGGCCTTGGCCTCGCGCACGTACTGGCGCGAAGGCGCATGGTGGCTGGACTGGTTCTGTTCGTCGGAGAAGTCCAGTAGGTCGTGCAGAGTCTCGAGCAGGTTTGGCTCGAACCCCATGTTTCTCAGGCTCACCTCCATACTCATATGATATTATATATCAAAATGAAAAGAAAAGCTTGGATCAATATATGAGATTTTGTTTGGTTTTATATAGCTAGGTTGAACTTGAAGTGAGGAAAATGTGAAGCGGTGTAGTTTTGGTTGTACATCTGTCGTGACAGATAGGCGCGCAAGTTTTGGAGTTATGTAATTGCTTGCTAATGACAAAGACAATCTTTGGTTTAGGCATTGACAAGTGTCTGTAGATTTGGAAGAAATGGGAGGAGGAGGTGTGAGGGTGACGCCAGATCTCTAGCTCTGCTTTTTGTGAAGTGATGAGAGCAGAGCAGGGATCGGTGTTTTTTGTCTGTAAGCCTGCTACGTGGTTGCTCAGACGGAGGTTTGGGATCCGCGTGGCCATGCCATCGCCTAATACAAAATGCATGAGCGGAGGATGTGGCAAGCCTACAGAATCTCCAAAGTTTATTATAATCATTCGTGGAACGACATTATAAATAGAAAGGAAATGAGAAAGGAATATTAAAAATAGTAAATTTGGCTTACACCCTTCAAATTTAATTTGCCGTACCTAAAACCCTTCACTTTTTGTTCCTATAAATAATACCCAATTTGTATAAGTAAAAACCCATGACTAGGATTTAACTCAGCAAGTTACCTAATTAAGCATAAAATCTAATTTATTGTACTTTTCCGATTCCAAAAATACCCCCAACTAAGCCATTATTGCATTTTGTATATTAATGTATGAATCAATATGGAAATAGTTTTTAATTGGATTGTATATAATGACAGATGTTGAATTTGGAAAGATCTCCAAATGATTGTAATGGATGTAAGAATTAATTTTGAAACATTTTTTTAAAAATTTAACAATAAATTCAAATTTGGGTAATCGGTTTGTTTAATAAAATGTTTATGTTATTTTCTTTTTATGAATTATAAATGACTAATAATCCACTTTATAATTGTTTATGAATAAAACTGTACATACTGATTATGTTGAAAAAATAATGTACCTATTACTTGTTTGTTTTATGAAAAATATAATTTACCTAGTATGAAAAGTGTACATAATTATCTATTCCAATATACCTACATTATACGACATCCAATATACCTACATTAATTTTAATGTACTTACAATTAGGATTTAGGTATTATATGTCATCCAATGTACCTACCATTTGAATAATATACCTACTACGAATAAAGTACCTATTATTTATCTAATTAATGTACCTATTTTTTTCTATAAATAATATAGCCTTTTTTCTCTGAATAAAGTACCTATTATTTGTTTTATTAAAAGCAATTTTTTTAAATGAACCTATTTTCTCTCTCCAAATAACGTACCTATTTTTTCCTCTAATAATGTACCTATTTTTCCTCTCCAAATAATGTACCTATACACATTTACAGGTATATTGTAAAATAATTTACCTGTTGGTAAATAATGTACCTATATTTTATATAAATTATTGTGTACCTATTTTTAATTATGAAAAATATACGCAATTACAAAATAACTGACTTTGTTTGTTTTTTTTTTTTTGGTAAATAATATACCTATATTTTATATGTATATATTTATATTATATTTTTCATAGGTACATTATTGGATATGTAATTTACAGATTTTTTTTTTGTTTGCAATTTTAGTGGGCGAGATGTGAGAGGGAATGACAACTAAAAGAAATGGGGTGATTGATATGCTATTAATAGGGAGTATATTAATTACAATTATGGCAGTTAATGAAATGCTTGAAATAAAATTATAAATAAAATATGAAGTTTAGTGGCAACGATGTAAAAACATTGAAATACTACGACCTCTTATATCCTACTGGTCATTTAAATTTGAAATTGGGTTTTACACATAGATTTATAGAGTGATGAGTATATGTCTAGGAAATAGAAAATGTAGGGGTCTATATTGGACAAGCTTGAGATTTTATAAGTACAAGCAAAAGAGGAACACATTAATCAATATACAACATGTTTGTGCTTCTCATGCCACCAAATGCAATGCTATTCTATGTGTTGTTTTGCCTCCTGGTTGGCTTCTCCCAGCACTTGAGAAGCATGTAAACTTTGTCTTTGGTGAATAAAACTAGGTGATATCTTTCACTCATTCGCTTCATTCACTTTGTATAAAATAAACATATTCCTCATTGGAACACATTCCTAGTTCTGATTAATTAAGTTTTCCGTTGTACCGAAAAATTCCAGATGGACCTGAAGTGATAGCGAATGCAATGTCCCTATACAACATGGCCACACGAATTGAACTGGGAACCAGAACTCCATCAAAAGTATGAGTACCCAACGGTGGCGCCACCGCATTTAAGCAGATATCGTGGTACTTTTGGACCATTTCGAGGATGTAGTTAACAACATCATGATCCTTCTTTAGCTCCTCTATTGCGACTTGGAAACCTTTTACCACTAATCCATACAAATCCCCGCAAAGTTGAACATCTGTGTTCCCACTGTTGCTAATGTGGAGAAGGTTGTTAAACGAAGCCAGGGTTACATTTGCATTTTCTTTTGCCAATTCAAGAGTGGCTATGCCGAGATCTTTGAGATTCAACGCCGATTTAATTCGAGCATCTGCCCAGAGAGCTTTCACACATTCGCCATAGTTTAAGTTCATGGATAGGGGTTCCTTACAAACACTTCTAACTAATGGAGAAGCTGTTGCATTTGCAGGTGTAGGAGAAGAGAGAAACATGAGAAAGGATGCAGTGAACAATACATAACGTAGAGGTTGTGGGGAGGCCATATTGGTCAATTTCTAGGTGATATTTTTGGTGCCAAAATTAGACCTTGCAATATTGCTAATTATTTGACTGTGTTTGAGTAATGAATGAATGGAGTATCATATATATATATATATGAACCCCAAGCCAGGTATGGGTCTAAAATTAGGTGCAAAGAAGATGGGGAACCATCTACTTGTAACGTTGATTGGAACATGTTTTTGTTTCTTTCTGTTTGTTTTCCTCAAACTGCCTTAAAATCGGTTGCTTTTCACTGGAACCTGATTGAAATTCTGATTTTTTGTTTATTTTTTAAATTACGCACAGTATTCAATTTCGTTTGTTAAGCTTATAAGTATTTTTGCATACAGGTTTAGGCTATTGACTTGCAGATCAGATGTCTCCCGTTCAATCAATTTAATATCTTGGTTGTGTGTGTGAGAAAATTCATTCGCTTCGCTTGTAGTTTAGACTATCACTTGTTCTAAAAAAGAAATAGTAAATTTGGCTTACACCCTTCAAATTCAATTTGTCATACCTAAAACCCTTCACTTTTTGTTCCTATAAATAATACCCAATTTGTATAAGTAAAAACCCATGACTAGGATCCAACTCTGCAAGTTACCTAATTAAGCATAAAATCTGATTTATTGTACTTTTCAGATTCCAAAAATACCCCCAACTAAGCCATTATTGCAGTTTGTATATTAATGTAGGAATCAATATGGAAACAGTTTTTAATTGGATTGTATATAATGACAGATGTTGAATTTGGAAAGATCTCCAAATGGTTGTAATGGATGTAGGAATTAATTTTGAAATATTTTTTTTTAAAAATTAACAATAAATTCAAATTTAGGTAATCGGTTTGTTTAATAAAATGTTTATGTTATTTTCTTTTTATGAATTATACATGACTAATAATCCACTTTATAATTGTTTATGAATAAAACTGTACATACTAATTATGTTGAAAAAATAATGTAACTATTACTTGTTTGTTTTATGAAAAACATAATTTACCTAGTATGAAAAGTGTACATAATTATCTATTCCAAATAATGTACCTATACACATTTACAGGTATATTGTAAAATAATTTACTTGTGGGTAAATAATGTACCTATATTTTATATAAATTATTGTGTACCTATTTTTAATTATGAAAAATATACGCAATTACAAAGTAACTGACTTTGTTTTTTTTTTTGTTTTTGGTAAATAATATACCAATATTTTATATGTATATATTTATATTATATTTTTCATAGGTACATTATTGGATATATAATTTACAGATTTTTTTTTTGTTTGTAATTTTAGGGGGCAAGATGTGAGAGGGAATGACAACTAAAAGAAAGGGACATTTTGGAAAAAGCAAAAGGAGAGAGAAAAATTTTAAAAGAAGCAAAAATGGACAAAAATGCCCTTATTTATTTTTAGATTTCCTAAGGAATCCAATACATTTGCATGTCTTTGATTTGAAAGTTGAGTGGTTTTTTTGTCTTTTTTGAAAAAGCTTTGGCTTTTTCCAAAAGTGAAATTTTTTTTATGTCTAAAACCTAAAAAACCTATAAAGAAATGGGGTGATTGATATGCTATTAATATGGAGTATATTAATTACAATTATGGCAGTTAATGAAATGCTTGAAATAAATTATAAATAAAATATGAAGTTTAGTGGCAATGATGTAAAAACATAGAAATATTACGACCTCTTATATCCTACTAGTCATTTAAATTTGAAATTGGGTTTTACACATAGATTTATAGAGTGATGGGTATATGTTTAGGAAATAGAAAATGTAGGGATCTATATTGGACAAGCCCTATTAAAAAATACATGATATATAAGTTCCAACTTAACTAGTAGTAGTAGCAGCAGTTCTAGAATGCTTGGCATTATTGAATGTGTAATTGTCTATTTGCAACGCAAGCCTTCTTATTTATTTAAGGAGTAATTATAAGGAGTTTCACTAAAACACCCAAAATAGGGGTTGAAATTATAAAAAAACCCGAACACTATTTAAACATATAAACACCCCCAAAACCCATCCTTACACACACTAAAAACTCATTCATAAACACACCCAAAAAGTTGACTTTGGAGTTGATTTTGGGTGTGTTTCTATGTTTAAATAGTGCTTGGGTTTTTTTATAAATACATGTCTAGGATTGGGTTTATTTATAAATTTGTATAATTATAATTTTGGTTACTCGGATTAAGATCGAATTAACACTCAATTTTTCAATTTTAATAATCACATCAAGATCAATTGGGATATTCCTTTAATTCCAATGCACGTGCTGCGTGTGTGCAGGGGCAATATTGCCATTTCACCCCAACCCATCTCCCTCCTTTTCTCTGCAACTTTTCAACCCAGCGAGAAACACAGTTTGAGAGGAGGGGAATCGGAGAAAATACAAGACATTTTTGTTTTTGTTTGAGGTGAAAATAAATGCTTTATCTCAACTGCATGTGCGTAATAATCAGACGAGTTCAGATTTCAAATCCGGCGACAGGGTGGGTCTTCGTGGCTCCGGCGACGAGGCCAACTTTTTCCTGTGTAATTTATTTGAGTGATTCGATTGCTTTTGGGGTTGTTTGGATATTAGGAGATGGTAAGAAAGTGATGCAAGGCTTTGGAGAAGTGCGATGAAATGATAAACAGGCTGGGTTTGTTCTCAAGAAAAACCCACAAAAGTTTTCAGTACCCAACAAAAATCTATCTCACGAGACAAAAATCAAAAGAAAAAGACAAACAGACAAACAACACAAACAAACTTGGAATTTATTCAAAGTTGATACACACATGTTCTTCCCCAAAAGAAAAACCCAACACCAATGACATCAAGTTTCATTCTACTCTTGAGTCACTGACTGAACTGACGAATGATTTTCAAGCAACATTGACGTGGATGGTCTTGGGCCTCTTGGGCTCCGGCGGAGGCAGCTTCTCCACCCTCACAGTGAGAACCCCATCTTTAGCCACCGCCGAAATCGCATCCAAATTGGCATTCTCCGGCAGCACAAACTTCCTCATGAACTTCCCAACCCTCCTCTCCATCCTCACGTACTTCACCCCACTCTCCTTGATCCCTTCCTCCCGCCTTCGCTTTCCGCTCAGCACCAAAACGTTGTCGTTCTCCACCTGCACTTTAATTTGTCCCGCCTCGATTCCCGGCATGTCCACCACGAACACGTACGCGTTCGGGTACTCCACCACGTCCGCCGGCGTCGCCGCCATCGCTTTCGCGTCTCGGACGTACGCCCGAGATGGGTGGTTGTTGTTTCGGGGCTTTTCGGGCTCTTGCTCTGCCAAGTCTAGCATGTCTTCCAAGAACGCGAAGACATTGCCCGCGTTTCTCAAATCCATGTTGAACGCAAATTGTTTGAGAGACTCGGATACTCGGATATATGAGGCAGCAGACAATCAACTAGTATGGAAAATGAAGGATGAGAGTGGCGCATTTATAAAGGGGTTGAGGAAATAACGAGAGAAAGTGAGAGATTTCTAGAGCCTACAAAGAAAAGCTGGCAGTTGTCTCTATATATCCAGAATAGTGAAGAAGGTTCTACTGCAAAATTAATCCTTTTCTAATTTAACAAACTCCAAAGAAAAATAATTTAAATTTCCTGTTTTCTCTTTGGGAGGAATTTGAACTTGAGTGTAAGAGACAAGGACAAAGCGGGACTCACTGCTCTGGCTAACTGACCTCTATGCGTTTCCCTTTGATTTTTAAAACAAATAAAAAAGAGCAACAAAAACATAGCACATTATACACATAAGCCTTAAAATTCAACAATTTCCCTTCACAAATGAGATAGTACCAGAATTTACAGGAATATAAATATATATATATATATATATTGCCACAAAATTGAAAAAACAATCTACATATTCAAAGGTCGTCATTGTCCTCGTAGTCTACATAGAGTGAAGCATCTATTTCTTTCGGCTTGATATATCCATACTTTCTCAGAAGCCAGATGATCGCCCTTATCACATTTCCGATAAACACAGTCCCCATCAGGGCCATCCATACGATCACAGAAACTTGGGTCACATGATACAGATAATTCCTGTTCTGCCCTGGCGTCATGAATATCAGTCCAATGAAATACGTCCCTGTTAGCGCAGTGATTGCGATCCACATGGTCACCATCTGCAGCCACATCCACCGCCGCCGCTTCAGCGGCAATCCGCTCACAAGTAACAGAATTATGCTCAGAGATGAAAGGAAAGCAATGGTGCAGAAGATCATGAACTGTCCATATTGGATAGGCTCTGTGTAGGCCATCACCGACTGCCCAGCCTTGTGTGGACGCTCCACCGGGTTGCCATTGGAGTCTGTCAAATAGTCGTCCTGCCAAACTCCACCGGGTGGTGATATTCCAGACTGAAATGCCACTGTAGCGATTAGGGAAGACACAACCATCAATGAGCTTCGTTTCCTGCCCAACCAATCAATATGCTGCTGCTTCTTAACCATCATACTCATTTTCTTTGACATCAGTGGTTGCATTGAAACCGAGTTCGATGATTGCAATGTATCCAGTTCCAGATGATATATAATGGCTGCGTTCTTGTTCATTCTTTGAGCTCCAGCTCTTTGGAGGGACTCTTTGATTCCCAAGTCCCGTAAATCTCTGGAACTATGAGATAAGACGTCCAATGCAGTGAACCCATTTGCATTTTGGGCACTTACGTCGATCTTCGTATAAGTGAGCAAATAAGTTATAACCTGCACAAAAATTGACACCTTTTCTTCTCAAAACAAGGGAATGAAATTTCTAGTAAGCAATGCATCATAATAAAACAAATCATAAATTGGAATTGAAATGAAACTAGAAGAAACAAGGTCACGTCAAGCATTGCAGCTGATCACATTTGAGGCGAAAATGCTTGAAAGGGTAAGACAATAACAACATAAATGTGACCTGGGGAGATTGTTTTTCTTCACTGTTTAAATTTGTTAACAATCAATTGAGCTACCTACAGCTATGTAACATTTATACACCTCTGTTCATGCCCATGAAATGACTAATTTAGAATTCACAAAAGGCTACATCTTTCCACAAAAAGGTAAAGACTTTGCGTACCTCTAATTGTTTCTTGGCCACAGCCACATGTAAGACTGTGTTGCCATCACCATCTCTCCAATTCACAAACTCATCGTCTCTCCCAATACATTCCACCAAAACCTTCAACACCTCCAACCTGTGATGCTTCACACACAAGTGGAACCCACTCTCGCCTCCGTGAGTCAACACCCGAATCACCTCCGGTCTGACTCGGGCCAACTCAGCCACCACCGCAACTCTGCCCTTGATCACCCCCAGATGCAGGGGAGTCAACCCATCGCTATCCCAGACCAAACACAGATCTGGGTTGACCAGCGCCAAATGCTTCACTATTTCCACGGACCCTTTTGCCGCCGCCAGGTGAAGCGGCGAAGAGCCATGGGAATTCAACTCGGCGGCGAGTTCGGGCCTCCGACTCAGTAATTCTTTGGCAAAAGCAGAGTGACCCAGAAGGGAGGCGATGTGCAAGGGCGTGTCTGAGAGAGATGGGTTGGTTTTGTTGAGGATTTGAGGGTCTTCTGTGAGTAGTTCTAGGAGAGCAGGTACAGAGCCTCGCATGGCTGCTTGCTGCAACTCTCTTTCCATGGTTTTCTCTCTCTGTTTTGCCTCTTCTTCTTTCTGGTCGTCCAATAATCTAAGCAGCTTCATTTTTTCCCTCTGTGATGTTTGCGTGCGAAAGAGAAATGTTATTAACGGAAAAAAAGACGGACACGGCGACAGATGACCTGAAATTGACAGACGCCGTTAGTTGACGATGCCAGAGAGGGGATGTCAATGTTCCGGAAAATGTTTTTCATACATTTTTCGTAATTTTTTATTTTCATAGGCCCTCCTTCCTTCCAGGTCCTCCAAATTTGACCTGGCTTGAGTCAACACAACACAGGCAGAGCAATGGCTTTCATCTAGAAACTTTTTCTTTGCTGGGTCCCATTTTAGGTAGGACGGGTATTCTATTCACATTAATATGATATTTTAAGTTCGAGTGAAAAGTGTGACAAATAAAATAATGTAAGTTTTGCACAAGAGATGAAATATCATCACTAAGGCCAACAAAAGTTGCTGGGTGGGGAAACGCCAACTTGGAAACAACATATACAGGAAATTGTAACTCGAATGATTATAAGACACATTTAATCATCATAGGTGTCTAAAATTAATTATACTACAAATGCACTTAAACTGATGAAAGATTATAAGTAATGTGAGTTTGCCTAAGCCAATTGTGATGTGGTCATAATTAGTTTCCTTTGTCGGGGCCTATGGGCCTATGGCTCAATAGTAGAAATGATCTAGTGTGGATACTTCCATTAAATAAGAATAATATTGTTTTGTTATTCCTAACTAATAACACTATGATACGCGTGATAACTTTTCTATGTATCATAGCATTATTGAGTGATATTCTGGTTGCACTCAAATTTTTCCGAGTGGGAGACAAGTTGGGTAAGAAATTGCAGCCTTGGGCCAAACCCAAGACATGGGTTATCAGAAAAGCAATGTGCCTTGTGATATGATTTGGGCCAAAAAAAGGAAGCCTGGAGCTCCGTCAATAGGTGGAGGTTTATGTAGTGATTATGGTTAGTAAGATAAAAAAAGAGGTTTTCTATTTAAACCCCGCACTTCTCTTTGTTCACCCCAATACTTAAATCATTAAGCTGTAAGTTTTATTATTATGTAAAAAGACAGAAAAGGTCATCCAACTTAATAATTAACCCTAGTACATCTATACACACACCCTACAGACCCCACCACTATTCATATTAAGTTTTAGAAACCTCCTTCCAACTTCCTGTTTACAAACTCTCTCTCTCTCTCTCTCTCTCTCTCTCTCAAGTTCTCAACTCAACAATACCCAAGTGTTAGAATTCCAGTTACAATTCTTGGAGAGAGGTAAAACTGTTCTCTTTCTCTAGAAAGTATTAAATTTCAGATTTGGGGTTTCATTTGTTTGTGTTTTTTTTTGTTGGGAACAAAGAAAATTGTGGGGTTTGAATAGAAAATATCTTTTAGTTCTTATTTTTTCAGTTTGGGGTGTATTTAAGGGTAGTTTGGGAAGATAGTGGGGTTTTCTTAGAAATTGTAAAAATTTAAACTAAAAATTGGGGTGAACTTAGAACATGAGGTGAACTAAGAGAACTGTGGGGTTTAAATAGAAAATCTCTAAAAAAATAAGGGAGGTGATTTTCCCTCTTTCTTTTTATCTACTTACACTCCTTTTTATCTTTTAATATTTTTTAATTAATATTGTTCTTTTTTATTTTTTCTCTTTCCTATTCTACTCTTACCCTATATTAAGGTTTTGATAACTGAAATTAAGAAAAGTTAACAGAAAATAAAATATAAAATATAAAAAATCTGAAAAATGGATAGAAATGTGAGTATTTGAAAGCCAAATTCTTAATTTTTTTCAAATCAAGTATGTGAGTACTATTTATATTTGTTGTAGTTAACTGATAATAAATTTTTTGGGCTAACATATAAATATGGTAGAAGAACCAAAGAATGCTAGTACCAAACTGTCTTTAGGAGTTTAGATATGCAAAGGGCAAGGTATGCACAATATTGTTAGATTTTTATTCTTTCATAATATTAGTAAGTGATTGTACATGTTTACTAAAGAGAATTGTAGGGTAAAGTTAGAACAGTAAAGAGAAAAAACAAAAAAGGACAAAATTAATTAAAAAGTATTAAAAAGCAAAAAGAAATGTAAGTGAAGAAAATGAGACGGGAAAATCAGCTCCCAAAGATAATATGCGAATTTACTAATTAAGGTGGCTATGTAAAAAAGTGGGGTCAAATCAATAAATATTAAAGGAAAAAGGTCAGCATGTTAAGAATTTCGTATCTAAAGATCGAAACGAAAAATAAAACTCCTATCTCCATTTGTCCAAAAAAATGATTTAAATATAGGATATCGAACCTAGTTTTCATTGAAGCTTTGATGGATCCACGACCGCAAGCCCACAGGTCAAGTTTCAACCCATATTTGTTAAAAGTGGATCACCAAAAACACAGTAAGCAGCGGCTCCAACCAAACCCTAACCCGGTTAATATCTTGGAGAGTCCTCGAAATGATAACCGACACGTGTCCGCTTTTATCGATCCGAAAAACCCTCGCTACACTCCATAAATCCTGTCCTCTCTGTCTCGCCTTCAAAGCCCTCTCTTTCACCCTCTCTCTCCTCAATCCTTCTGCTCAATCCACTTTGCTTTCTGTGAGACTCTCCACTCTCTCTTACTTTAGATTTTCGCAGCTGGGTGGTTCGTTCCATCTCCGCCGTTGCTTTTGCAGAGATGAAGTTTTGAAGATGATGATGAGCCCTGATGATCTTCCTCAGCTGGTAAGAACCATCACTACTGATTGGGGTTTTTACATGAAGAAATGTTCCACCCATTTATGGTGATCCACGTACGGTCCCTAATCTGGTTGCGCAAGAGGAAAAAAACCAGCACCCAACAAAACCCTTATCCCAATTAGTCCAATAGCT